TCTGCCACCCGGGCCTCCACCTCCGCCGCCCGGACCTCCACCTTTGCCGCCTGGGCCTCTGACTCGGCCGGCTGGGCATCCACCTCGGCTGCCCGGGCCTCCATCTGCATCGACAGGGCTAATGCTCCACCGGCTGCAGTTTCGCGGCATTCACCCAACGCGATATGTGCTATATCATCAGAGCACGATAACAACAAAGCCTAATGAGCACAGAAGGAAGTAAAATATCGATGTCTTAGAAAACGTGGAGTAGATTTCAGCCTTCTCCGCTCTCTCCCAAAATATAAGATAAGCAAATTAAAAATAAAGCTCTTCAACACCCAGTCATTGGCAAATAAGAGTAGTCTAATCCTGGATCATATTATTGACAAAAAATTAGATCTGATGTGCCTCATTGAGACCTGGCACAAACCAGATTCATATCTGTCACTAAATGAATCCTGCCCACCACGGTATACATATCTGGAAAAGGCTAGGACCAGCGGCCGTGGTTGGGGGCTAGCTGTTACCCATCGAAGTGACTTAATTGTAACCCCCCTCCCATGCAAGAGCCAAAAACCTTTGAATGTCTGCTCTTTAAATGCAGACCACAAAAAGAAGCAATTACCATGCTTCTAATCTATCGTCCTCCAAAACCACAAACTGGGTTCATCTCTGAAATGCAAGATTTTCTTACATCACTCACATTATACACTTTTTATGGGTGATTTTAATCTGCATGTAGACTGTCCCACAAACCATTCTGCAGTTGAGTTTCTGGATGTACTAGATTGCTTACATCTTACTCAACATGTCACAGTTCCTACACACACAAAAGGTCATACCCTAGATTTGGTGATTACAGACACTCCCGCCATTACAAACTTACAGGTTTATGATTTGGGTGTGTCTGACCATAGTGTTGTCTCCATGGAACTGCCACTAAAAGACACATACAGTAAGCCAAAACGTCAGATCCATTTCAGAAATTTAAAAGCTATAGACCCCATCCGCTTTAATCAGGACATTCAGAATATTCTATCAGTTAAACATCACGTGTCAGTAAACGAATCTGTTCACAGTTATAACCTAAACCTCCACAATATTCTTGAATCACAAGCACCAATAAAAACAAGGTCAGTTACATTCTCCAGGTCTGCCCCATGGTGTACAACAGAACTACGCAAAATGAAAACAAATGGCCGTGCCCTGGAGCGTCTGTTTACCTCCAAGGGGTTGCTTGTTCATAAACTGGCCTACCGGGACCATCAAAGAACATACTCTAGAGCACTCACTTCACAGAAATTCGTAAACAGTGCTGGAAACTCAAAGCAGCTATTCTACACCATAAATTCACTGCTAAACCCTCCTACAAATCCACATACTGACACTAGCATAGATAAATGCAATAGGTTCATGGACTTTTTTACCAACAAGGTGGCATCAATCCGATCCTCCATCAGTCGTACAGTTCAGCATCCGTTTGACACCACCCTTCCACATACATTAAATACCTTTTCTGATTTTTTTTTTATTATTATTTTGATTTCATTTTTCATTTATTGACATAAAAATAAAAATACAGAAAAAAATTACTACAAGCCAAAATGAAAAAGGGGACAGAAAGAAGAAAAACTTATGTTATCTGCCCCTTTTAACTAAAATAACATGAATACAAATGCAACAATCATGATCAAAAAGTAAATTGAACAATATAGTTCCTGGACTGGTTGGCCCACACAATCTCAACCCATGAATCGAAAAAAAGAGAAAACGAGTTACACAGAGAGAAGCATAAAGTTATAGACCTCTATACATACATACATATGTACACAAATGAATACATAGACTTGTTTCCTTTTTTATTTTATTTTATTTTTTATTTTTTCTTTCATCCCCCAACCCCCCTCCCCTCACACATTTATGCAACAGATCTATATAAGTTAATCATTTCATTTTTTATCTCTTTTCTTAAAGTCAATATTGTTTTTGCATTCTTGATTTCAGTATTTAATTTATTCCACAATTTAACTCCATATATGGACACACAATGTTCCTTTATGAGTATCCGATGTCTAGATATATTAAATAATTCATGTCCTTTAAAATCATATTTGCTATGTCTTTTTGTAAATCTTTTGATTAATCCTGCAGGTACGTACCCTTTGTTTGCATTATACATAAATTTTAAAATATTGTAGTCCACCAGATCATAGAATTATAGTGTTTTTAATTTTATAAATAATGGATTGGACGGATCTCTGTAGTTGCTCCTTGTGATTATTCTTATTGCTTTTTTCTGTAAGATGTAAATGGAATTTGTGTAAGTTTTATATGTTGTTCCCCAGATTTCAATGCAGTAGTTCAGGTATGGTATGATCAGTGAGTTATATAACAAATATAGTGAATTATTATCAAGCAACCCTTTTGCTCTATGTAACAGTGCAACAGTTTTAGATATTTTAGTTTTGACACTGTTTATATGCAGCTTCCAAGACATTTTTTCATCAATGATGACTCCCAGATACTTGACTTCTTTAACTCTTTTAATATTAATCTCATCTATATTTAATAAAATTTCATCATTTGAATATGTATTACTAAAAATCATAAAACATGATTTATCGCTGTTTCTCAGCGGCCACCCAGACAGAAGTGGAGAAAACAATAAAAAGCATGAATACCTCAACCTGCCCCCTTGACCCTCTCCCGACACAACTTTTAAAATCAAATATTACAGTCGTCAGTCCATTAATCACTACAATTATAAACCAGTCATTACATTCAGGTCAGGTTCCCTCAGCCCTCAAAACTGCAATAATTCGTCCCCGTCTGAAAAAGCCCTCTCTAAACGCTGCTATCTTGTCCCATTACAGACCCATCTCTAACATACCGTTCTTAGCTTAAATACTGGAAAAAACTGTAGCACACCAACTCCACAATCATCTCAATACTCATAATCTGTAGGAAAAATTCCAGTCCGGTTTCCGTTCAGCCCACAGCACAGAAACTGCCCTGGTCCGTGTTATGAATGATTTACTTCTAACTGCGGATCATGGCTCACCATCTCTTCTCCTCCTACTGGATCTGTCAGCGGCGTTTGACACTGTGGACCAGACCATCTTACTAAATCGAGTCCAGACTGTGGTTGGCCTTTCAGGAACCACACTACATTGGTTCCAGGAGTACCTTACGGGCAGAACGGAATTTGTAGCTTTAGGACATTGTCAGTCATCCCCCCACACTGTAAATTGTGGAGTACCACAGGGTTCGGTTCTTGGGCCAACCCTTTTCTCCATCTACATGCTTCCACTTGGACAAATTTTCCATAAATACAAAATATTGTTTCACTGTTATGCAGACGACACTCAGTTATACATGAAAATGGACTCCACTACACCTAAAACTCTTCCATCTGTACCTCAGGTCTGCCTGGAGGAGATGAAGGCATGGATGGCCGCAAATTTTCTTCAACTAAACAGTAATAAAACTGAAGCTATCATTATCGGCACTCCACATCAAACACAGTCTCACTCCCTTAGCAGTATTTCCATTTTCGGTCATGACATTTCCCTTTCCTCTACTGTAACAAATCTTGGTATCAGACTAGATTCAAATCTTACATTTGACACCCACATCTGCCACCTCTGCAAGGTCTCTTTTCTCCACCTCAAAAACATTGCTAAACTCCGTCCCTCTCCTTCCCAGCCAGATGCAGAGAAATTGGTCCATGCATTTATCTCCTCCAGGTTGGACTATTGCAATGTCCTCCTCGTTGGGGCTCCCGGCAAGAGCATACAAAAGCTCCAGCACATCCAGAACTCAGCTGCCCGGGTCCTGATGAGGAGAAGCAAATACGATCATATCGCTCCAGTTCTGAGATCACTTCATTGGCTGCCCATCCAATATCGAGTTCAGTACAAAATTGGCCTTCTTACTCACCAGTGCATCCATGGAACTGCTCCTGCCTATCTGAGCGAACTTCTCATCCCACACACTGCCACAAGAACCCTCTGCTCTACCACCTCTTCACACCGCCTGCACCAACCACTGACTAAACTCTCCACTATGGGAGACAGGTCCTTCAAGGCAGTGGCCCCTCAATTTTGGAATTCTCTCCCAGAGTTTCTAAGGGCCACACAATCTGTGGAGCATTTCAAAAAAGGCCTCAAGACCTTTTTGTTTAATAAGCTTTCTAGTGCACAATGACCAATTGAGTGTTTAACTTTATTGTGTTGTTTTTACTTATTGTTTGTATCTACTGTAATGACTTTTTAGATGGGTTTTATCTATTTCTGGGGACTGTTTTTATTTTCCATACTTGATAGTATCCTGAAATTTTAACTGTTTTTAACTAGCTGTGTACCTTATACCTGTCCCCTATAATCTGTAGCACTTTGAGATTACTTCTGTAATGTAAAGCGCTTTATAAATAAAATGTATTATTATTATTATTATTATTATTATTATTATCTAATCTTCATCTCCCAGAACGACCTGTTGGTGGTGCAGTGGGTCTTCAGAGCACAGAGAGGCCTCTCACTTTATTGTTGTTTAAAACGTTTTTATTATCTGTCTCCCATAAACAAGGAAGATAACCATACTAATAGATGTGTACATGCAATGTTTAAATTTAAACACCAAGAAGAAGCAGAAGAAGTTGTTTCAAAGGAGGAAAAGACCTTTGGTGACAGATGGACTGCGAGTCCAGGCTGAAGCTGCTGTTTGACTTCCAGGCATGCGAAACAAACGAGGAGAAAGCAAATGCATGTGTCAGTGTTTAGATTATACCTGAGATTACAGGCTGTGATAGTTTCCTTCAAATAGATTATTTATTCACATTCATTCATCCGACGCATGACAACTGCACATGTGGAGGATTGTGGTCTCCTGTCCCACACAGACAGGTTTGAGCGGTACGACCGAGTGAATTCCTGATGACAGACATGGAGGCTTGAGCTCAGCGAGGTGAACATACCTGCCTTTCATCTCATCCTTTGTCCACCCCTCTCATTCTGCAGCTACGGCGACAGGGTGGAGCACTTCAGAGTCCTGGAGGGGGGCGGTCAGTACTGCATCTGGGACAAGTCCTTTTGCTCCCTAAACCGCTTGGTGGACTTCTACAGAACTCACAGCATCGCCATGGAGAAAATGGTGTGCCTCAGGGATCCTCCCTCGTCTCCTCGTCTTCATCTTGGCCGAAACCCGTACCCTAACCCTTACAGGAGCTCCGCTCAGGAGTCCATCCCCTCCTCCCGCCTTCTTTCCCATCCTGAGCGAGGAACTTCCACGCATTCCATGAAACCAGTTTTAGAGGTATGACATGATTCTGCATAACCTCATAAAAGGCTGTGTGTCTGTGTGTGTGTGTGTGTGTGATGTCGTGTCTTTGTGTTTCCTTGTGTGTGTAGAAGCCTCGTCTGGCTCATGCCCTCTGCGACTACACCCCCCGTCAAACATCCCACCTTCACTTCAAACGGGGAGACATCATAGACCTTCTGGACTGTTCCAACTCCCTAAGCTGGAGAGGACGCTGCCGGGGCCGGGTCGGCGTCTTCCCACCAGACTATGTCCAACCAGTCCACCATTAACTCCACATCAGACCTTCAGCTCTGCGGCTCTGACACTAATCCATCCTATTAGCTCCTTACAAGATGAGGTTCGGGGGTGACAACATTTATTTTTTGATTCTCCAACAGGGTAATAACAGATGTTTACAAACTGAACTAAATCCTGCTGATTAACTCTGACCAGTTAAAGGATTGTTGTTTTTATGTGGGGATGAGAGTGTGAATATTCCTGCTGTAGACAGCAGTCAGAGCAATCTCAGCTTGGAGAATCAGGAAGAAGTTCACATGAGAAGGTCAAGCTAACGGGTAAAACTGGCTTACTCCGAGTCCACACTGAGGGCATCAGCGGCGCGCAACAGCAGCGGAACACTGCTGCTTCAAATATAATCTATTATAGTATAAATGGTAAATGGCCTGTGTTTGTATAGCGCCTTCTTAGGGTACTCAACCCCCCAAGGCGCTTCACAACACAGTCATTCACACACACATTCATACGCTGGTGATGATGAGCTGTGATGTAGCTACAGCTGCTCTGAGGCACACGGACAGAGGTGAGGCCTGCTGGACACAGGTGCCACCGTCCCTCTGACCACCACCAGCAGGCAAGGCAGTTTAAGTGTCTGTCCCAAGGACACAATAGCAGCATTCTATAGTGGGAGCCGGGGTTGAACCTGCAACCTTCCGATTACTGGACAACTAGCTCTACGCTATATATATGCACCAAACCGGCCACGGCATGGGACATTTCAAGCAGCCGTTCACCACGCTGTGAGTCTAAAGATGGGACTGGGTTATATTTTTGCCAAGAGCTGCTTGTGGGATGCATCAATTTATGCAATTAACACAGTCCAAGACAGAAAATGTCATACATTATTAGTGTAAAATATCTGGTAATTTTCTAAATAAAAGTCTATTGCAGAGATGCAATGTCTTATCTATGTAGCGAATGTCTACATGTGACCTCATGAAATATATTTACCACCAGTATCTTTCAAGAAGTGCAACAGTGCATCATCCTTCATGGATGGGATCTCCACTTTCTTCTTTTTGCCTTAATGGCGGATGAAGTCTTGAGGGATTTGGTGATTTCACAAGTCCAGCAAGGAGGTCAGCAGAGACGCTGTGATTGATGCGCCTCGAAAAATCGCCCCCACTGTCATTCCGCACCGCTGATGCCCCCAGTGTGAACCCGGGGTTATTTGAAACGACGGACACTTTAAACCAAGATCAGTTTAATTGTTGTCTGCTGCAGAAGTACTACATACAGCCCCATTTTGAAAAACTTTACCCTGAACTCAAAGTTATAGTTTGGTATTAAGCTCATTTTTCTTATCTGTTTAGGATTCTCAAGTGTTGTGCAAGCGTAAAAAATCTGCTTAGCTTTTAACTAAAATGATCAAATAAAAATAAAAGAAAACACGTTTAAGGTTCTGGTTGCATTTTTTTTTCATTGTTGAATTTTCAACAAGTGCAAAAAAAGCACATTGTCTACTGTGTGTTGTCACACATCTGACGTTTTAATAAGTAGATAAACAATAAATTCATAAATACAGAATGTTTTGCAGCTTCAGGACCATTCCCAATAGTTTCTATTGAAATTACAAGATCAAAAATGTATTCATCATTTAATTTAGCTTTATTTGTCCTCTTGTTTTTGACAACGTCTCTGTTAGCAGTTAATGAGATGCACACAAGACCCTTTAAAACACTCTTCTGTATATTTATGCTGGTGCATTTTAGTTACTCTGAGAAATGACAAAGACAAAAAACTTTTCTTTCCAACCAATAATCCGTATTTCAGGATTAATAACTTAGCATTTGCTAATTTATTATTTCACTCTCAGGTAAAGTTTGACTTGAAATAAAGTTTCAAATTTGCAAACCATTAATTCACTTGATTTAAAAAAAGATCTTTTTGAATCTGAGAGACTCCTAAAATAATTTAGAAGCAATAAATTGAATTAATTAAAGAGACTATGTGTAGTCTATCATTAATCTCTGTAAATCAGTGATGCGACGTTAACAAACTAATCAAATCTTTTGAACGCGTTTTCAAAGTGAATGATGAAAACCGAGTCCCGGTAGAGAGCCGTTCATCTTGTCTTCTGCTAACGAACCACCCGAAGGTCAGCAACCCCCCCCCCCCCCCCCCCCCCCCCCCCCCGCTGTGACGGACGTCAGCAGAACAGTATCCAACCACCGTGTGCCCTCACGGGCACCAGAGGAACAGGTTGCTCTTAACAAACCCACACACACACACACACACACACACACACACACACACACACACACACACACACACACACACACACACACTCTCATGGCTTTGCTTCGTTCACAGGACGGGCCTTTGATGTAAACGACCAACTAAAGAACGGCTCCCGTGAAAGAGCCATAAATCCCATCACTACTGGAAACATCCATAAAAATGTTGTTCAAAATGTGTTAAATGATGTTCAGTCATTGAAAAATATTAGCAGCTTCGTAGCACAAGTCTCTGGGTGACACTATAGTAGACGCCATGTTCCCTTCTACAGGAGCCTGTAAGGGCAAAATGCATTTACAGATTTGTAACAAACTGTTACAAAACTTTCTCCATTCATAAACGTTGTTTCACACATTTACCTCTTCGCTCGTTGCCAGTGATGAAAGGGAGTCTGATGTTATGTCGTTTAGCTGGAGGTCGCGCTCCCAGGGATTTTTGACCCTATGGCCATCCGTTGGTAAGGTCTTAAACACAAAATACCACTTGCTTGCCACAGACACATATATTGATGTCAGTGTAGCTTGCAGTGATTTAGATTTTTTTCGGCCCCCCCACAGCCAGTCATTTTAAACTAAAAAAAACCCTTCACACAGACTGGAAAAGTTTTAAATGTAAACAAACTGCCTAAACAAACATCTTAATGCAGCTCAAATGTATTTTCACACAATTATAAAATATGAATCACACACAAAAAATCACATTTTATCCTGCAGATAAAAGATTGAGCCTTTATTACAAGTCATAACGTCCTTTTCTAGATTCATAAATTATGTTGTGATGAGAGGAAAAGGATTAGGGTGACATTTTTTACAGCATTACAAAATAAAAAAATATTACAAGAGAATAAAAACAGATGAGTAATGGATGTTTACACATTTTTATCTGTGACTGGGTTCAGCTCAGCCTTTAAACATAAAAAAAGATGATTGTTTTTACCACCTGACTCCGAGCTGCTGATTCAAACGTTTATAATCAGATTAAATACAACGTTTACGGCACTCCTTCTACCATAAGCTTCAGGCAGCGGGAGAAATCTGAACTAAACAGGCTTCTGGGATTCACTTTATCCTTCAGTGTTCCCTCGAGCACTAAAGCTGATGATCTCAACCCTTTTATTTAGGACTTCCTTTAACTAGGTTTCTAGATATTTTTAGGCCCAACACCTTCGAAAACACAAAACGTCTCAATGACGAATAACAGCAAATTCATTTGATAAACTTTTTACAAACTTATGTTTTTATTCAGTGAAAATCATTTATAAACTAACGTTTTACTACGCTTTAATCAAAGGAATTATCCTTAAACAGTAATGAGTTTAATGTTTAAAAAAAGCAATTCTGCTGAGAATCCCACTGTAGTTTGTCTCTGTGAGGTTTTGTGTTTAATCTGATCCTTCATTCAGGCAAAGTAAGCATACAGAAAAATGTTCACGCAGACCAGTAGGAGGGCGTTGGCACAGCAGAACCTGGACCAGAACACGCTCTCTCGAATGCTGGGAGCTCTGGGAGTTGGAGTTTGCTTTGAGCACCGTAAGGCTGCGACGCACAGTCCTGTTCCCTGGCTGCACACGACCCGCCGGGTTGGCTCCAAGCCTGCTCACACACACACACACACACACACACACACACACACACACACACACACACACACACACACACACACACACACACACACACACACACACACACACACACACACACAGAGCAGAAACAGGAAGTGACTCAACCAATAATCTGGCTTCTGGTTTTCATTCCGAGTGAACGCTCAGATGTTTACCGTGACTGACAGAGGACACTTTCTGGAGAGGAATTTCTCTCTTTGGCTCTTCAGTTATTGTCCACCAGGTCAGGTTAAACAACTGGAAAACAACAGAACATGTAACAATGTTCTAAATTTTTTAAACACTCATTGACATTTGGTTTGTCTTCCCAAGATAACATGAAGGTTTTTGTTCTTTCCACAGTCGAGTGCTGCTGCTTAGTTTTTTTCCAAGTTGGCTTTGTCTCTCTTTCGTCATGCAAGCTTGCTGCTTTCCATCCTCTCTTTACACCAGGGGTGTTAAACTCATTTTAGCTAAGGGGCCACATTGATGGAAATCTAGTCCCAAGTGGGCCGGACCGGTAAATTAAAGACAACTTCAGATTGTTTTCTTTGTTTTAACACAATCAATATAAAACAAAGCTGGAGCCTGAGGACAGTGTATCCAAAATAGTACAAGTACAACACCTGAAGTGTACTTGAAAATTTGAATAAAAAATAAATAAAATAAAAAAGACATTCCTTAGTGATTCAAAGAGCTTACAGATCACATGGCTAGATCAGTTCCATGCAGCACTTAAAGTATATTTGACTCATTTTACTTTACATCTTTTAGCTTTCACCAGCACATCAACATCAGAAGTCACATCCTGAGTGGCAGCTAACTTCAGGATGTGATTCAAGTTCTTGTGTGGGCTTGAGCACAGCTTTGTTTTATTTATACTCATTACAGAGAAAACTTGCTCACAAAGATACGTTTATTTTCACTCTACATTGTAAAGTATGAAAATAAAGTTTACACAACCATCCCGCGGGCCGGATTTAACCTGCTTGCGGGCCGAATCCGGCCTGCGGGCCGTATCTTTGACACCCCTGCTTTACACACTAATTTATCAGCACTAAAACAAACAGTGGGCAATTAGCAATCATGTCTCTTCAACGGCCTGGTGCATGTTTGCACAGGCAGCTGTGGACAAAGGCTGGTCTTAATTCTCCAGATGTTCTCTTCACCTGTCCACGCACACCTGGATCCTTGTATTTATCAGAGTCATATCAGTTTCTTTTTTTATTTGGGTCAATTAAAGACACTGTCATGAGTTCTCTACAGGCACAAGGGAGGAGACAGACAGGAGTGGTTGTGGTAAATGTATGGTTTGTGGTGTTGCAGTTTGTAAAGGTGAGTTTGTGAGGTTTTAGTGTGTATATTAAATGTGTATGAATGACACAACTCTGGATTATTCTCTAAAACCATGGTAAGGCAGGGCGTTCCTTCAGAAAGCTGATGTTTGTCTTTTGGGTTCATACTCAGGGTTGAGCAATGAAAGATGTGACGAATGGGTCACGAGCTACAAGGAAACTGTAGGGTTTGTTAACATGTGTGGCAACAAATCTGCTTTACTGCAGAGTTTTGTTCTTTTGGATTCAGATGGGCTTGAATGATCCTCTACCGTGCGCTTGCTTGTTGCGTGGATGTGAGCCCACCTGTTCCGGGCGGGGTGGTGGCGTGAGCAGTGAAATCACGGCGACCACTATAGCGGTGATCCCACACAGCAGAATGGCGAAATGGAGGTAGTGCACGTCACGTAACACCACAGGGGCTGAATCCTCGACCCCGCATCCGGGACGAGGAAAGACAAAGTCCATCACCATCCTGCACAAACCGACCGCCAAACCCACCATCAGGCCCCAGAACGCCCCCTGCAAACACATAACCAATGAGAACACACTGATGTAAAACACACCATTTCCTCCTTCCACAGGTGTGAGTCTGAGTTTGAGCTGTTACCTACTCACTTTCCCACCATGTTAAGTTGTCACCGCTATGTCACATCTCAGTTACAGTCTGTAAACTCATCTGAAGCAACACCTTTAGTCTCTTTGTTTGGCCCTCAACGTAGAATGTGACCTTACCAGTTTGAGTCATCACACAAAAAAATTTGCTTGTCACACCAAAGATCTGACAGATGATAAGAGAAATATAATCTGATCAATAAAAGAGTTAATTAAATATGGCCGCCACACTTTGTTCTGTTTCTTAGGATTTTGTAGAAATTGTGGGCCATGTTTGAGCTCTAAATATTGATTGATGATGATATCACCTGCATCTGCAACCACGTGCGCTAGTGACACTGTTTACACGTGTGTGTGTGTGTGTGTGTGTGTATATGTGTGTGTGTGTGTGTGTGTGTGTGTGTGTGTGTGTGTATGTGTGTGTGTGTGTGTAACTTTATGAGCTACAGTTACTTCTCAAGGTCAAAGACCACAATTTTTTCTCCGGGTAAAAATAACCGTTGGATCCAGTGTTACTCAGGTGTACAGCAGACCTTTAACCCTTTCAGCCAACACCTGTTAGATTTGCTTTTAGTTTTTTGTTTAAATCTAACACAAAAACTCGCCTTTTGCATGTAATTATGCTGTTAACTTGTCTAAGGACAAGAATCTTCAGTTAATCCATTCTAAAGGTGAGAAAGAGGTGAACATTTTAAACATGGAGTAGATTTTCTCTGGGTGATCGTGTTTCTCTCTAAGCTGGTTGTGTGTTGTAATGTGAGATTTCATAGTTGACTGTCCAACACAGAACCGACTTGTCTTGCTACACCACAGCACACAACTTTAAACCCACCTGCAGTTTCTTTATACTTTGCTTTCAAGAAGCCAGGATTTCTTTTAATACTTTTACAAGTGGTCCAGAGATTAGGTCTTCAGGCTTTAGCTCTTTGGGGGGAACTTCAGGTACTTTTTAAAGTAAAAGGCAAACCAACCAATCATGTTTGGTTACTAGGGACAAGTGGAGAATTTTTGGCCAATCGGCATCACCCTAGATATTGTCTCAGGGGCATTGGCCGACAGCGCCCATACTGCAGGAACAGCTAGCTAGCATGCTAAAAGTCACTGGATCTCCTATCTCCTCCCTCTCTCTCCCACTCCCTCACTCACACACACTCACCGTTGGTTTAAAATATAACTGCTGCAGTGAAATGTGTTTACAATGTTCAAAACAGGATTTCCAATTGAATTTCTATGATGTGTTACTGCCATCTACTGGTGGAACCAAGTATTGCACGTTGCGGTGCACATGCTTTTAATTATGGGCTGTGATATACTTGCTGTTTAATGACGCAAACGAATGTTTAAAATGGCTACTTACTTGCGTTGATTTGAAGCATTGTTTGTGCGCATCCCCCAAAATTAACGAGACACATCCACATGCTGCAATATATGAGTAACCAGTAGATGGAGTTTACAAACGAGTGAGACACAGTCTTTCACACCATCTACGACACCGCTGCTGGTTTTTTTTTTTTCTGTCGTGATCTCAAATTTATCCAGTCAGTGAGCTCTTTTATTGATGCCATGTTTGTTTTTGTTGTACCCACAAAGCGGGCTCTTTTTCCGGTCTGAAGTATCTAGTGCGCCCCCTAGTGGAACACTCCAGTTCTACATGAGGTGCAGTGTGGTGTAGCAGCAGGTAAGTAAACAAAGTTGCAGCCTGTTGTTGTTCCTGTGCCAACGCGAGGTCAAACAGCAAGTATACGTATCATGTTCCTAAAACACAGAGACTGAAAACTCAAGCTTGAAGACAAACTGATGAGAAAATAAAATGCAAATGAGATCAAAAATGAACTTATAGACAGCAGTTGCTCACATAGTATGCTTGTGTATTTATTTGGGTATTGTTATAGTCTAATTTATCTGTAAATTGCATAATCAATTATATCTGTAAAACTGCTTATTTAGAGAAGGAGAATAAATGATCATTTTGGAACTGTAGTAATTTTCCAACTGTTCATTTGAATTCCTATAATGGACTATGAAGGGAAATAGTTCCCCACATAACCCCCACTTGGAATTTTGTAAGCAGTAAAAAGTTGATGGGTGGATTTAACATTTATTTTGCGTTACTGTGCTTGTTGCTGTTATGGTGAACTTGTCCTAAAATACATGCTATACATTTATTTGTTAGGAAACTGAAAATGTGTTTGTGTGCAAATTAAATTATATAAATAAAAGCAGCAGAAAATATGATCTGCTGCAAACATATGTAAAAGGGTGAATGAAGCAGTCATTGTGAAGCTCTTTGTGGCGTTTGGCTCAGCATGAAAAGATGCAACATAAACATAGACAATTTATGTGTCCTTTCACCTGTAACTCATACTGTAACTTCAGACAACTTCATTGTAAACTCAAAATAATAAAAGACAACTTGGATCTTTGAAACTCCTCCAAGGTGGGGACCTTCGACATCGTGAAAAGTCCTGCTCATGCTGAAAAACCTGAGAAAATCCTCTTGTTTTCAGCTGTTGAGCATTGTGCCAGGGGAGAGCAGACACACCCAGGAATTACTTTATTTAAGAAAAAAGAAGAAAACTAATGTCTCAACATGAATTATTGTCTGGATCCTCTTTGTGGCTGCTAACTCACCTTGTTAGGACAATAAAATACACTCTCTAGGCTGAGAACAAAGTTCATGCAAGCTGCTTTCTATGCAGGAAGTATAGGAACAATTCACTCCATTAAGAGAGTGAGAACCACAAACAAACTCTCAAGTGTGTTCACACATTTACACAAAGACTTTCACACAAAGCCACGTGAAAAAATCTGCCGTGCAAAGCTGAATCCCACGTGAGGCTAATAAAACTAAACAGCAGTGGAGCTCAGGAGGAAGAACAAAACAGTGCAGAGAAAAACCTTAAAATGTAACAATAAACCGTGCACTGTAAAACTGGTCTGGACCTGTTTGTTAGTTTTATTCAAGATTCAAAGCTTTATTTTCGTAGGCACAGTAACGAAACGCGTTTCCCTTATGGATGCCAAAATAATGCATTTAGTCATACAAGAAAAAAGGCAAAAAAGAAGCTGCAAAATACAACAAAACACTCAAAATAAATTGTAGAGAAATATATACTATTTCAGAATAGTGCATGTTTGTGTAGATAATGTGCAACATTAACAGTTTTTTTCTAGGTTACCGGTAGTTGAAAATTCAGCCAGTTACGTTCAATTTAAAAGACCAAAAATTTTATAAAACCAATTCGTGATTTCAGACATTTACGTCAAATTATTTTAACAGAAATTTCAGATTTTCTTTTGTAAGAAAGAGGAAACAGATTAGAAAAGTTAGAAATTCACCCAAAGCATCAAAATAAACAATCCAAATTAACTAAATGTAGGAAGAAGACATTTAAACACGAGAGAGAGAGAGAGAGAGAGAGAGAGAGAGAGAGAGAGAGAGAGAGAGAGAGAGATAATAAAACAAACACTGCACAGAGTGGCAGTAGACGGCAGGATTTGGAGTCTTATTTCCTGATATTTGGACATCTTGTCTTTGATTGGATAACAGCAATGTGACTCTATCACTGACTGCAACGTGGAGGTGTTTTCTCCACAAATAACACATGCCTGGAGAAGTTTTTTTCTGTGTGGTGGTGTTGCTAATGTTAGCGGCTAGCTTTTACTAGTCTGGATGTTCTCTGTTTCTCGCGTCATGAGTCAAGATGGGTGAGACCATGAATGTTTAGTAACAGTGTGACATAGATCCGTCAGGATTTTCAAATCCTAGAGCTTCATCGTTTATTTTCTATCAGAAGCTAATATAGGAGATAGATGTGGGAGACTATTTTCATGTCAAGCCTGCATGAAAAACTCAGAGGAACTGATGATAATTAGAAATAATCATTGAAAAATGTTCAGTTAACCACACCTTTAAAAGATGTTTTCCACCATGTATATTTTTTAAACGCAGGTTTTTAGTGCCTTCGTGGACCAATATGGACAATTTCAAATACAATTAAATCATAGCCAACTTTTCACATGCTCACTATTACTTTACAAACCAGAAAAAACCCAACTCAGGTGTTTATTTATTTATTTATTTTTACCATTTTTCTGCACTTCTCTTGCTTTATCCTGATCCAGTGGTCATTAAACATTGATTTTGTGTGAAATGACTAAAAGATCTGAAAGAAATCAGAGTTCTGGGAGGATCTTTAGCTAAGCTAAGAATACTATGAGTATAGACAGGGTCTAAGAAGTAGAAGGCAGACCCCTTACTTATATTTTTAGTTAAAACAATCAGTTTGATTTTACAGTGTGGTGTGGGGGCCTGAATGGGGCAAACAAAATGTTCTAAAAAAGCATTTTAGTAATCCTTACATGAACTCTGCATGCATGTTTGTGCCTGTGTCCTACCTGCTCATTGGCTCTCTTCCAGAAGACTGCCAGTGTAAAGACAGCTGTGACTGGTGGGGCCAGACAGCTCGTCACCGATTGGATATAATCGTACAGTTGGCCACTGTTGGCTGACTGAAGGATGGGGATCCAGACAACGCTCACCACCACCAAGATCACCGTCACAATCCTGAGAAAACAACCACATCTTACACCACGTATGTGTGTGTGTGTGTGTGTGTGTGTGTGTGTGTGTGTGTGTGTGTGTGTGTGTGTGTGAATCCTGGTGGCAGGGCTATAGTTTAACTCTCTGTACTGTACCTGCCGACCAACAGCAGCTCCCTCTCAGAAGCCAGCGGGCGATGTTTCTTCCAGATGTCCATGGTAAAGAGCGTGGAGCTGCTGTTGAAGATGGACGTCAGTGATGACATCAGAGCGGCCATCATCACAGCTATCATGAGCCCCCTCAAGCCTGCAAGGACACAAGCAGAAATAAACATCCACAAGGTGAAAGGTGTGCTTTTGTTTTTCAATATTTCAAAATTAAAAGAAGTTTGTGAGAGCAAAACCTCACCGCTTGGCATTAGTTCAATAACCAGTTTAGGAAAAGCAATATTGGAGCATCCCACCTCAGTTCCACACACTCGCACACACTCCTCTGGGTCAACACATCCCACTGAGTCTGAAACGTAAAAACACAATCACATGGGGGCACATGGGGTGGAGGTCAAAACGCAATCAATGTTGCTTTTTCCATAAAGCTGAAAAAATAACTATCTTCCCTCTCCTTTTAAAAGAAATCTTCTCTTTCCTGTTTTGTTCATGCAACAACCAAAAATACGCCTTTGATCATTTTAAATGAGATATTTCTATTTTTTATCCTTTTTAGGAAATAGTGCAGTGTTTAGGAACAGGTAACTGATTATAGGACAAATTGCAAAACTGTACACCTGAGCTTATTATTTAAATATAGAAATTACAGAACCCGTTTACTTCCTTGGTCTGCACTGCCAGATACTTTTTCAGACAGGCTACAGGGGAAAAAATATTTAATTTGGCTTCAGTGTGTGTTTTACAGAGAACCTGGTGTTCAGCATGCTGCTGTGAAAGAGCAAGCAGTGTTTTAATAAGTTTAGTTTGTATGTTGTATGGAAGCCCATTCCCGCCACTCAAATTAAAAAACTAAAACATTATCTTATAATTATGACTTTGTAGCTCACTTAGCTAAGTCATAATTATGAGATATTAAGCAGAAGTGTGGCCAAGTCACTGCTTTGCAAGTCACAAGTCTGTCCAGTCAAGTCTCAAGTCAAGTCCAAGTCAAAGACAACCAAGTCCAAAGTCAGTGATGTGGAAGTCCAAGTCAAGTCCAAATCCTTAACTTTGAATTTTCAAGTCATCTGTCCTACTTCAGTTTGATGACAATGATAATAAATAAATTCTAGAAATAAAGCTTCTTAAATCTTCATTTATTTGCTCAAACAAGCAGGAAGTGCAACTGAAACTGATTCTAAACAAAGTGCTGCTGCATTTAACAGCACAAGATCACACCCAGATTTTTGTCCATGTTGTGCCACTTTTGTGTTAAAATATCAAATATGCTCAAGTCATCATCAAGTCAACAGATGCAAGTTGATTCAAGTCGCAAGTCATTGGTGTTCAAGTCTGAGTCAAGTCGTAAGTCTTCATAGATGTTATCAAGTCAAGTCAGAAGTCATTAAAATAATGACTCGAGTCCAAGTCATGTGACTCAAGTCCACACCTCTCATATTAAGTCGTAATTCTACTAGTCACATACTTGTGATCTTTTTAACTGGGTGGCAGGAATGAGCTTCCATACATTTGGTATAGTTTTATCCAAATATTTTTAAAAGGTTAATGTTTAAATACATTCACCCAGATTCATTAGCTTCTGCAAATGTTTTATCAACAGAAAATCCAAAGAGGAGCTGTTAATAATCAGTCTTTTAAGCATCAACAAGCAGTGAGTGTAAAATGAACACGCTGATCTGAATTATAAGCCCCATAATAAACGCTCACGTCTTTAAAACCAAGGCAGATAAAAAACAAGAGCAGCTGATGTCCATTAGTTTGTTTCCCCTTCATTCAGTCTTTCGTAAGATTTCACTTTGAGGAAGAAAAAAAACTTTTTCTCTCTGTCCGGGCCAGGAGGAAGGAGGGGCTCTTCCTAACGGACACCCCGCCTTCCGGTAACTGAGCTTCCGTTACCGGATTCCGGATTCATGGACACTTGCTGGCACCACACCTCGACAAAGTTTGTGTTATTTTACTTGAGTCAGAGAAATAAACTCTGAATGGTGAGAGGAGACCCCGGTTCGTGTTGCGTTTGTGGAGCTTTGTGACTTTAACAGCTGCAGGGACGTCTGCGCACCGCTGCGCTGAGACAAAAGAGAGGAAAGGCGACTCGTCAGCGCTACAGTTAGACTGACTCACTAATTTCAGCATATTTAGGAGTATTAATCACTTCTGTCTGCGTTTAAAGTGCGTGTTCCGCGTTGTTGTGACTCACTGGTAGACACAAGCTATAAACTCTTTCACCCGCGCAGCAGCCGAACCGTGAGGCTGGATCTGTCGAGCCGGGCCCCCACCCGGGCTTCTCTGGCCCCTGTCAGGTGAAGGGCGTGGCGCTGGGCGGGCGAGTTTTGTTCCAGCAACACCTGAGTGAGGGAGTTCAGTCAGAGATCCGGGCTGAGCGCTGGAGTTTGCCGTCTCGTGTGAAACTCTTCACCGCTAAATGGATCTGTTTACTGCCTCTCGAGCTCGGGTCTCGCGGACGTTGTCTGGAGCGTAATGACACATCAGCCCACGAATTCGAGGCTTGACCCTTCGGACCGACGTCTGGGAACTGGGTCGGGGTGGTTTCTGAACTAGGCTAGTTGGTGAATAAGAAAGGGAGACATGGCTCTGTCTCAGATCCAGTGTCTGGACGACCACCACGTCAACTGGCGCGTGAGCGAGGGCAAACCGGAGTTTTTCTACAGCGAGGACCAGCGGCTCGCGCTGGAGTCTCTCATTTCCAGCGGCCGTGATGCGTTCAGGGACTACCTTCACAAGACCGGCGTCCGGGAGTTCCTCTCGGAACCGGAGCTGGAGCACATTACGAGCACGGCGGAGGCCTACCGGCCCGGGCACGAGCATCACCAGAAGCCCGAGACTCCGGGCCCTGGAAACTTGACTCCGGGCCCCGGAAACCTGACTCCAGGGTCCGGGGAGGAAGGGGAAGACGGGGAGGTGTCACTCGCCTATTGGCCGGACCGATCCGAGGCCTCAGTGGCGGAGCTGGACCTGGGGTGGCCCGAGGCCAGCTCATACCGGGGAGTCACGCGGGTGACCGTGTACAAGCAGCCTCCAACAGAGGGCCAAACGCATATCAAAGAGGTGGTGCGCAAGAGCATAGCATCTGCCCAGAAGGTAAGTTACAATATTAGTGAAGTAACTAATAACCAAGGTTTCCAAATAAAAACAAATGAAACGTAAAAGGTTAAAAATTGGAATCATCTACAAGAACATATCAACAGTGTCAACAAAAGCAACGCATAAAAATAAACTGATGCTGCACAGCTAAGAAGACGAACTTGTCTGACAGTCAGAGTAAAACAGTATTGCAATAATAAACTTTAGTTAACCTGTTGATTCCAATAATTGGTTTAGATGCACAGTAAATAGCTGTATTGGTAACTAGTTAATTAAAATAGATATGGTGCCTGATTGCCAGGTTAGCTTCCAGCTTCTCTCATTTCAACACATTTCCATCACATTTGATGTTTTTCAGTTTATTTTTGTTATGTTTTGCCATCTAAAGGTATAATTACCATATCATCTAATTATAAACATTTTGTTACTTCCCATAATTCCCCTTCTTTCATGCGGTTGAGACACTCAGACATGACCGTTCATCTGGACTAAATTTAATCCCGCGTTGCTAATTTCACCTAACCCAGAGATAACCTTTGCTGCTTTTGTAGGATTTTCGTTTCGCCTGAATCTCATGTCACAAACTGACTTCACCTCAGACAGAAAGTCTTTCACAGACAGGTCTGAGCTTGACTGACTGTTTAAAGAATGCAGTTACATCAGTGAAGGTATCGTTCTTATCTTTCACATGCATCATTTCTGGTACCAGTCCAGGCTTGTGCAGAAAAGCACAAACAAAACACATCTCTAGACTTTAAACAATTAGACCTCATCTCAAAGGAGTTTCTACCATTTGGAAGTACAAAATAATTTGGCAGCGTCTTTGTTGGAACTTGTTCTGACAGATGCTTATTTATTTATTTTTATTTTTGGCACTCACTCATACCAAGTTCTGCAGTTTTGAAAGTTTCAGCTGGGTTAGAGCTGTCCTGGCTCCATTACTGTGCTGCAACAAGCTTCATTTTATCACCAACCTGCAAAACATTCTTTGCTTCTAACAGACACATGAAGAAACGTCTCCTTTTCTGGACAGGACTATATTCTTCCTAATTTAATGTTTAATTTCTCTAGTTCTCTGCTTCCTTTGTGTGTTTTATGTTGTTTTTTTATATATATTGTTGATATGGAACCCACCCTCAGACCAGGAAACACTACCACCAGCTCTGGTTTCGTGTGTGTGTGTGTGTGTGTGTGTGTGTGTGTGTGTGTGTGTGTGTGTGTGTGTGTGTGTGTGTGTGTGTGTGTGTGTGTAGGTCATTGCCGTGGTGATGGATGTGTTCACAGATGTGGATATCTTTCGAGACCTTCTGGACGCATCCTACAAACGCAAAATTCCAGTGTACATAATTCTCGACATGGCTGCAGTGCCCTGCTTCCTTTCCATGTGTGGCAGAGCCGATATGCACCGCGGACATCTAAAGGTTTGTTTGCAGACGGACAAACTGTTGATATGATCCTGACCTTCTCAGGACGGATGGCTGCAACAATTCCCACTCTATATCATAGATTTTAGATCCGTGCAAACCAACGTGTTCATCTGCTGGAGCTAAACTGGTTTAGTCGCTAACAGAAAACACTTAAGTGTTTTGTGGGAATTTCTAACCGCTTTCAGACCAGAGGCCAGGAAGATACAGAGAACATTCCTGTTTGTGCTGCAGGCAATTACTATAAATAAGCCTCCATCCTCACTTTGCTTTCTCCAATAAGGTTTCCCTTTCAGTTCCTTTTCTTCCTTCCTCGCAGCCTTAACCTGCAGATTTCCCTTCTCTCTCAACCCTTTCCCGATCTTTTCTCTGCCATTATTCTGAGCCTTTTCTTCTGCTGCTCCTGTGAGATCTGGTACAGAAGCAGCGCTAGGCCTGAAACCACACCCTTATCACAGCCAAAGACAAACACCACAGGGTGTGTCTTACAAGCATGCACCCACAGAGAGAGAGAGAGAGAGTCCAAGCTGTAACCTGTACAGTCCCTCAGTGAGGTTACTAATGCCGAGCATCAACCCTTAAGTAAGAAGTGAAGTCATTATTTTCAGTCTCTTGTCATCCTTTTATCCTCTTTGTGCTTCAAATCCCTTTTTCCCATCAATATAAAACACTCTTGTATTAGTAATAATCCTGTGTGTGTGTGTGTGTGTGTGTGTGTGTGTGTGTGTGTGTGTGTGTGTGTGTGTGTGTGCGCACGTAGAATCTGCGAGTGCGCTGCTGTGGAGGGGTGGAGTTTTTTACACGATCAGCCCAGAAGGTGCGTGGGTCTCTGAGCCAGAAGTTTCTCCTGGTGGACGGAGACAGAGCCATCTCGGGTTCATACAGGTGAGCCGTGCACTACGCTGTGCTTTTGGGAATTATTTGTACATTTTAAAGCTAAACTAGTGTCAAAAATGTATCTTCTAACAATCCAGCAGCCTAATAAAACTAACCCCCCAAAGTATTTCCACCCAACTCTGCATTTCCTCTCACCTCTAATTAGAGCTTGAATGTTTTTTGATCATCTTTGGTTTTGCTGTAGTTACAGCCACTTATCCAAGTCTGCAGCTGCACAAGAAGGCTGTTTGAGTTTTTTCTTCCTGTAAATCATGCACACATCCTGCTAAGCAGAAAATAGCTGACAGGAGATATTAGCGACCAGCTGATGAACCAAGAAGAATTTAGCAGCTACAAAGGCAGATATTGTTCTGCGTTGGCGGGAGAGTTAAACGGCTCTAAAATCTGGTTGTCAGGGTTGAGCTCGCTGTAATTTAGCACTACGGACAAACCGTCAATGATGGAATGATTCATTAAAGCCTCTGTGTTATTTCCATTTCTTAGCATAAGGGAGTCAAAGCACTTGACACCAGCGTATCTACGTTTTCTCACTGATGTATTAAAATAAATAAGTAGAGAGCAAAACAGCTGATTTGACCACTTATTAAAAATGTACACAAACCACGTCACTGAAATAAAACGAATTACGCCATAGTTTGGCTGGTTCATTGTTTTCCCATTCAGAGCGGCCATGACTCCCAGCAGCATGGCTGCTATCAGCGAAAGCTGCAGCTTTCCAAGCGTACACACACACACACACACACACACACACACACACACACACACACACACACACACACACACACGCAAACACACACACACACACACATACACGCAAACACAAAGAACTCCCTCGTCCTTACCTGTGGAGTATGGGCATTAGTACTTTCACATTGTATCATGAACCGTATCCCGTAATTCGTCAGGAAGTTGAGGGGGGAAAAATGTGCGCTTTGATCAAAGAGCAGTTTGTGATGCATGACTTCTGGAGATGCTTTGGTGTAATAATTAAATGTTAGCAGTGCTCAATGATCTGGGTTGTCCCGGAAACAACAGCGCTGAAGTTACTGATGGGATGCTTCTTTCTCTTTGTCACGTTTCAGCTTCACGTGGTCGTCGTCTCGTTTGGACCGCAACCTCATCACAGTGATCACAGGGCAGGTAGTGGAGACCTTCGACTTGCAGTTTCGTGAGCTCTACCTCATGTCCAGAGGAGTGTCCCTGAATAAAGTTCCCATGGAAGACGAACCGATCCCTGACCCACTCCCTCAGGCAGTTCCTGCTCCTGTGCCGGCATCTGTAGCAAGGAAGTTCTTCAATCCCAAATATGCTCTTGTTTCCACAGGGACCCACACGAGTCCCACTCCCTCTGACCAGAACTCCAGCAACAAGAACTCCAATGCCCAGAATCCCACTGGGCTGAAAGTGATGAAAGGACGTCTTAAAGAGGTTATTGAAGAGCCGCCGATTCATCCTGGTTTACTTCATCTGGAGAAAGCAAATTTGATCCCGTATCTGCCCACCTGGCCTGAACCAGACCCGCCAAGTGACGTGATTGGCTTCATTAACATCAGAGATGAAAAACGGGCCAATCAGGTTCACCTGCAGAGGTCAGAAAGGTTCGAGGTTAGTCAGGCTATACGCTTCAGCTCACCGCTGGCTCAACCAGCTCTGGCCAAGGAACCAACGTCCAGTCAGGAGGAGAAAGTTGCACAAACGACCGAAAATGTGTCTGGGAATACAAGCCAGACGACTCCCAGCCCCACCAATCCAACGGATAAAAGCGTCGAACAGCAAACGCCTCCGAGTAAAGACCAAACTGATTCGGCAGATGCCACTCAACAGCCCAACATGTCTCCAACACAGGAGAACACACACTCTCCACACGAACACACACTCACATCTCCCACCAAAGCTGATTCACAGCCTACTGACACTGTTGGACAAACTCCGGAGACACAAACTCTAGCACCCCCCATTCCTAAACGCCGCACGCTGCAGTTAGTCATAGACCCCACCCCGTCAGAGCAGTCTGGGGAGGCGCAGGTCACTCTGGTGAAAATGGACCAACTGGAAACGCCAAACAAAGTGCAAATCCAGCAGGAGCCGATCCCAAACCGCGGACGATTAACGTCCAAGGGCTATGACATGGACTCGGGCAGTAACGAGGAGAGTAGCCTGGACAGCACTAAGGTTTTGTGTGACCGAGCGGTCATCGAAGACCCCTCAAGTGCTTCGGCTGGATCAGAAGAGGAATTTTTTGACTGTTCACAACAGGAGTCAGACGACGCGGTAGTCAACGGGGGGCAGACGGGATCTGGCCGAGGACATCGCCAAGGAGATGGGCTAAACATGATGGCCCGCTTCTCCCAGAGCATGCTCGACCTGCGGGAGCCCAGCCAACCAGAGGACGGTGCTTCCCTCATCCGAGAGTCACAGCATCTGCGCAGACAGGTGCACGGTTCGCCACGCAGGCTCACGGGACAGGTGAGCAGTCTGCAAAGCTTTTCTTCTACTCCCAACAGGAAAAAGCGATAAGCAAATTCAGGAAAATACCAACGGTTCACAATGAATGGTTCGTGATTTAGAATGTCTGCTTCCTTCAGTTTGTTTTATTCAGAGTTCTGAAGAGGGTGATCCTGACAGGTCTAGACACAGTTTCCAACCTGAACAGTGATGAGTGTTCTTCAAAAGATATAATAAAACCAGTTTAATTTTTTGAAAGGACAAACACTGGTTCCAGCCCTACGTGACACAATGCCTGACTGAATCTTTAAATGTTTAAGCTTAGTAGGCTATTACTGACATAGTCCAGAGATTTCCTGATATCTAAGTATTAAGGAAAGACACACACTTGCAAACATCTCTGTTATGCAAACTTGTGTCAAAACAGGTGTGCTTCATCACTGGTAGCAAAGCAAGTCCCTACCTGCCTCTATTAAATCTGTCTTACCTGTATTCTCCATTTAAAAAATGTGTGTATATTCTCACACTTGTCCACCCACATGAAGAGCACACACCTGGATAGAGGGCTCGGCTGATCATTCCAGGAACGATGATGAAAACGAAAGACAGCATCTTCAGATAGGCGGTGAAGATGGACGCTCCTTTGACGTGACTCATGTTCTTAGCAGCGAGAGACCGTTGTACGATAACCTGTTTACACAGAATCATGTTTATTTCAAACACTTCAAAGTCCACAGAGTAAATGTTTTTTACACAACTCCAAAACAAACAATTTAAAAAGGAATGTAGGATAAAACGGTCGTGAGTAAATTGAAGTGCGGCGTGACAGATGATGAAGGAAATTCTGTGAAATCAGTAAACCAGAGGAAAATAACAGGTTTTAGAGAAGATTGAAGGAAATAAAAACAATTAGACGCGGGTAGTACGGTTAACTGATGATCTTTAAAATATAAGTTTTAAAATTAAACAAACAAACAAATATGGATTTTATAAACAGAAAATAAAAGATTATACACGGTTTTTCAACTAATATGCAAATACATGACTAAATATCCAAAATCAATTCTAGCTCATTAGTATTTTTATTTTAAGTCTCTAGTTTGTTTTCTTGATCAAAATCCTCCCTCCAGTAATTTTCATGACTCTTCTGTCCTCCATAGTCTTCTGCCACACAGACATAACAGAGCATGGTAAATAGTTAATGTCCTGTTTTTCTATAGCAGCTTCGAAGGGTTCTACAACCCCCCAAAGTGCTTTACAACACAATCAGTCATCCACCCAGTTGGTGGGGATGAGCTACGATGTAGCCACAGCTGTCGAGGGGAGCACTGACAGAAGCAAGGCCTGCCGAACACAGGCGCCACCGGTCCCTCCAACCACCACCAGCTGGTTAAGTGTCTTGCCCAAGGACACAACAGCAGCCTTCTCTGGTCAGACCTGGGATCGAACCTGCAACCTTCCGATTACTGGGCATCCCGCTCAACCTCATCTACCTAAAGCCAGCTCATATTTAAAATGTGATCATTACATTAAATGGTTTATTCATGGCCAGTTCTGGATGTGATTGGCTAAAAGGTTGTTCTTGATGACCCGTTTCATTTCTACCTAACATGGTACTCAACACCACAAGAATGTCCTCTTGGATGACTTAAACTGTTTATGTTTTGATAATCTCAGTAAACCTTTTAGCTCAAGGGCAGACTCTTCGGTGTGTTGAGAAAAGCAAAAACGAAGAACCGAGGATAGAACCTAAAAGAAGCGTAAACTTCCCTTTAGGGGTGACTGGTTCTGTTTTAAGCAACAGAGTTTGTTCGTGATACAATTCCAGTTTGTTTATGTGACAGAAGCGTTTTGCAGAAGTTGAAGCAAAGCAAAACTTCACCATTGTTCATCTGTGTTTTTAAAACATTAAAACAGATGATTCAATTAGCCACACGCCACATTTAGGGATGTGAGAAAATATCGCTATACTGAAATATTTTGTGTCGTGATACAGAAACAGTCTTTAAAAGTGGTGTATGGATGTTTAGTGAGAGCTTACATACTAACATTTACTGTATTTCTTATGTGTGGTTCAGTTTGAACTCTGGCAGCTCGGTGGCCTCAGTTTTTACTGCCTTCATCTTTATGGAACAAGATCCCATGGTAATGGATGTGTCTTGGAAGCGTCTGGCCTGAGAGTTCATAGTAAATTCAGTCTTAAAAATTGCAAATATAATCTTGTTTTAGTATCACAATGGACTGTATCGTCTCAGCTGTCTTTGGAAATGTATCGTATCGTCTCATTAGGGCTGGACGATTTAGAAAAAAACATATCAAATAAAAAAATTCACAATGATCAATATCAATAATTATAAAAAAAATTAAATATATATTAAGTGCAGCTCTGGACATTTGATGTCATTAATTTATGATAACACAAGTTTTTGATTCTCTCCAAACTTTTCGATTGACCAATGTGTCTTTTTTTGTCAGGCTTGTAAAAACCAAAATGTTGCCAGGGATATATGATGGAATATTTTCCTCTGCCACTCCTTACTGCGACAGCTTGCTGTGCATTTTGGTTTGAGAAGGGAGGGCTTGGTGACGGAGTGTGCATGTGTTTTTGATAGGTTGGAAGAATTGACTCTAGTATCAAGCTACCTAATAGGCAGGGCCGTTGCTAGCTATTTTGGTGCCCCAAGCACAAAGTCTTCGTGGTGCCCCCCCCCCCCCCCCCCACACACACACACACACAACAACACAATCACTGGCATGTGACATGACTAAATTCAAAACTATTTAACCTTTATTAAGAACTAGAGAGGCACAATGTACACATTTTATACACAACTAGAAAATTCTGAATATGAAGGGAGGAGGTTAGCATAATGGACTTTTTTCTTCAAATTATACCGTCAGCAGCTGATGTTCCCCTTGGCCCGTAAATGTTTATGAAATATATATCAACATAGAGCAAATACCTAATTAGAAAATAGGTTTGTCTAATTTTTCATATTAAATCTCAGTTACATAGGCTGTTTAATAATGATATAAATCATGTCCATAGTTAACTCATGATTAATCACAAACAGCCGTTTATTTAAAAATAAAATTTCTTACTTTACCTTGACAGTGTTTTTGTCCTTCCTGTTTTTGTGATATTTAAGTATTTGGGTGGACAAATATGATTCATTTGTTTATTTCTGTTTCAAAACAGCACAGATGGGCCTATCTGACCTCACAGTGGAAACTTTATTTTACTTGAGAAAGATGTTTTAAGATGAACTTATTAAAAAAAAAATCTTAAAACTCTTCAAGGTCTATTTTTTAGATGAACAACCTTTAACACTGTTCAGACTTATTTTTTGATCCAAGTCACATGAACAGGCTGAATAAAAGGATATTTCCCTTTGTTGCATTTAACTATTTCTTCTTTAAAGAAGTGCTGATTCAGAAGAGAATAATTGCATTTGGGAAGATGATGACTTGCTGCATTTTTTCTCCAGCAGTAAAAAAGCTCTAAAGCTTCTCTGAGTTTCTCTCCCTCTCAGCCTCTCTCAGTCAGCTACTGATGAATGCCCGGTAGGCAGGGCCAGATTAACACTTTGTTGTGCCCTGGGCAACAATATTCAAGGGCCCCATAATCACGACCTGAGGATCACCATAATATGGTCACATACAGAATATTTTACTGTAATATGCAGTAAATATACTCAATACTTGAATGCCTGATGTCACGTAACCCGCTCAGGGTAACCTTTGACCCACCTCGTGTGGACTGACCAATGAGGAGAGGGTCTTAACTTGAGGCCCTCTCTTCATTGGTCAGTCTGCATGAGACTGACTCTCAACCGCTCTCAACTGACGTTCAGTCATAGGCAGCGAAGCGTCTCTGTGCAGCGCAAAAGCTCGGGTGGACAGTTTGTTTAATATAGGGTGATCATATTTCCATTTCCAAAAAAGAGGACAGGGGATCTGTGCCTATGATGTCACACTATGGCAACGCCACACAAACCATGTTGGGACCCATTTTTTGTAAGAACTAAATTAATATCAGATTCTACCAATAAAAGGGCTCGAAAACAGTTCATATGTAAATATTTAGCATATTTATTGCAAAATCTCATTTTTCCGCTTTTGTGCTGCAACAAGATTGTATTAATAATAAATTATTATACCTTTTGTTTTACTACAGCATCGGTACGCTTCCTGTGCACGGATTATTAAGGATGCTTGTTTCAGCTGTGAGATTAGACGATAGGATCAATGAAAAAATAAGTGTTCACACACTCCATGGAAACTTTCAGAGAATCCACAAATAGTGGCTTTCAAATGGTTTTGTTACTTTTAGCAAGTTTATAAAAGAAGCAGATGAGACAGCGTGTCTGATAATTTAGTTTTTCATCTGATAATATGAGAACATGTCAGTGATGTCTGAGGGGCTTTTATAAACACTGTATAACTAACACTACTGGAGAGGGTATGGATTACACAGAGGCTTCTGGGGAGCCCAGTTTTGGGGTGGTGGTGGGGTGTGTGTGTGTGTGGGGGGATCATTTTGCCTTGGCCCCCAAAATGTCTTGAAACGGCCCTGGGTGTGTGACTGAGTTTTGAAGGTGATCTGAATTGTATCAGATGTATAAATATTACATGTGTGTAGTGGAGATAAATCTACCTATTTTACTTTTCAACACTTTGTTTTGTTTTGTTTTTATTTAACTGTTTTCCTGTCCTATCTGTCTCTCATCTTCCTGCATCTCCTCTAAACTCTCCAGAAAAACTGCTGCCTGGATTCTTACTTTTTCACCTCAGCAGTTACTTTTGAGCAGATCAAAGGGATCTCCTGACCGCAAAGCGGAGAGCGCGTTTCGATGCTGCGTCAGTGAGGTGAAATCACTGCAGCACAGGTGATGAGCTCGCAGTAACAGAGCGCTTCAGGCACAAATAAGACAGAAAGCAGAGAACATGTGCGGACATGAACGATCGTGTGTTAACTGTAGTTTTTTGGTTGCGCCACTTTGAGAATGGACCGTGCGCTGGAAGCAGCTGCCTGGATCACTGCGCACCAACGATCAGCACTGTGCTGCTGTCTGTGCTCTCTGCTCAAAAGAGTCCATAAATGATGTAATATAGGTAGAAAACTTTTTTCCGGCTCCCCTGGGTGTGTAGGATATACAACTCCCCCATAATTCGATCCCTGCTCCTGGATGAAAAGCCGGACATTTTTATCAATACAAGAACCCCCAGTCCGGACGCCCCGGACAGAGTGAAAAGTGGACACGGTCCATCTCCTTTCCTTTTTGTATTGTTTTCTCTCTGTAAACATGCTGTTAACTTGCTTTGCACATCTTCTAATTGAAATCTGTCTTTATCATATATATTTTATTTTTTCATAAGTTTGCGTTTGGTGCCCCTCCCCCGGCGTGGTGCCCTACTCGCTATGCGTGGTGTGCGTGGGCAGAGCGCCGGCGCTGCTAATAGGTCACAATAAAAAAATGTGTGTGTGTGTGTGTGTATGTGTTTATATATGTCCGGTACGGATAAAGCATTTTTGATGAGTACGAGCATGAAACGAGTAAAACTCATAAATATCTGTAATCGTGCTGAAGGAAAATCCTCATTGGGTAACTGACTGTCTTCCAGCTCTGTGATTGGCCAGTCACATAGAGCGCCTGCTCCTCCCTACACACAAAATTGCAGCGGGAGCTCACAGCTCAGTCCGTGTCCAGTCCATCCACGCACGCACACACAGACACACACACACACAGTAACGGATCTCTGTGCTTGCTTCACTGTTCACGTTTCTTCAGTACTCCCTATGTTTTCTTCAGTTTGCTTCTTTTTAAAGTTACTTTTTCCGTAACGTACGTGGTGCATTTGACAAGACAGAACTGAAAACGGCTCATGCTGCGTCAGTCACTCACTGCCTTGTTTTTTTCCCCTCTCTCTCCTCTTCTTCAGGATCCACTCCCTCTTTCCTATTCACTCTCTCTTTCTTTACATTTTTTAATCACAACTGTCTATTTTTTGCTCATTTTAAATATATTTGAATCATTTTCTAAATTTTTTTTTCTATTTTACATGCTTTATTTTTGTGAAGCGCTTCGTGATTTTTATCTTGAGAGGTGCTATAGAAATGATCTTTTCTTCTCTCTCTCTCTTAATTCATGCACTTAAATATTAATGTTCTGATTTTATTGAAAAACTTGTTCTGTAATAGTTTCTTTACTATTGTGATCAAAAATATTTAATCTCAACTCTGAGGCTGATCTGTAAATAGTTTTCAAATAAACAATACACATAGCAACTTCTGATCAGACTTGTATTGATGTAAACCACACCCACTTCCGGTTAAACTACACCCACTTCTGGGTTAGGCCACACCCACTCAGAGTACAGATACAGCTAGTGGTGTACTCGTTCATCCCTTTATATATATATATATATATATATATATATATATATATATATATATATATATATATATATATATATATATACGTATATGTGTGTGTGTGTGTGTGTATATATATATATATATATTATATGTATAAATATATACATATAATATATATATTGGTATCATATCGTCTCCGCTGGATTGCGATATGTATTGTAATGCCAGATCCTTGCCAACATACATCCCTAGACACATTTCTGTAAATGTTTCAGATTGCTTCATTAAGAGAAAGAACAACTGGTTGTCTGTGATATTTCATATTTACATACGACTGGGTAGTTTATAGACTCAAATAGTTAGCCAAAGATTTGATAGATTTTCTTAACAGTGTTTTATCATGTTGGGCCCAGTGTGGGTGTGGAAAATATACCATAGATGGATGGGATCACCTCTTGACATGCTTATTCAACACAAGTCATCAGATGAAGCGATTAAAGAGAATCAGATTTCACTCGCACTCCCAGTTATGAGTTATTATTAGCTTGGAATAACTTTTACTTCATCAGGGAGAGACTGTTTTTAAAGGTGCATTTGTGTATTCAGTTCAGTTTATTAATATAGCATCAAATCACTAGAGCCAGCTCACTTCATGAAGTAAACATTCCAATTATCCAAAGAAGTCCAGTTGCCTTCATTCGAACCCCTTTGGATTCCAACTGAGTTCAGTTCATTGTGCCAATTAGTTAAAAGTTTCCTAAGTAAAGAAACCCAGCAGATTGCATCGAGTCACTGACTTGTGACAGACTTTACAGCAATCCTCACACTCAGCAAGCATGTAGTGACAGCGGAGAGGAAAACTTCTTTTTAACTGGAAGATACCTACAGAGGACCCTTGGTCAGTATAAGCAGCCATCTGTCAGGACTCACTGCGGTTTGAGAAGAAAGAGTCTACTGTTTGTGTGAAAAACATTTCTGCACAACCAGGTGTGCTTGTGAGTTTTAAGCTCAAAAAACTGAAACTAGTAATTATTGGTGTAGTAACAGAAAGTGGTAAGGTGCTTTTAAAATGACTGAGCACTAAGAATCCCACTGAGAGATATCCAAAAACTAACACTGGTGCTTTTCATTTTCCTCTGCAGCTGTTTCAGAACTCAAGATCTCCAGTTCGCGATCCCCGACTGAGGGGACCCAAGGTAATCATCAATAAGCCTGGACGTGTTCACCCCCCTTCCCGAGCTGCTGGCCATGTGATTGGAGGATACCGTTACTGGCAGGGCCAAATAGCTCCACCTGACTCAGCTCAGCTGCGTGTGGAGACCCGTTCTGGGCGGTCACCACGGCGACACAGCCCAAGCTACCGGAAGATGGACCCCGAGTCACTGCAGCCACCAGCCAACCCATCAGGGTTTTTCAAAATGTCTCTCTCAAAGTTAAACTTTAGAAACTCGAAAGCTCAAGGAGGGGGAGGAGCCTCTCAAAAGAAAGTGTCTGTTGCCAATAAGGCTGTGAGGTAGAACTGTGGGTACAGGAAACACTAAGGTGTTTTTATGACTTCCTGCTCAGAAACCGGTGACACTTCAGTATTGTAGAAATATTTTCCGTCTCCTCTTGACACCCTGCAGTGCAACATACTTCCATGGACTAATAATGTTGATAGATTTTACAAGCAGACAGTGTAGAGCAGGGGTGTCCAATCCTGGTCCTCGAGGGCCGGTGTCCAGCACGTTTTCGTTTTAACCTGCTTCAACACACCTGATTTCAATCAGCAGGTGATTAACAGCTTCTGCAGAGCCTGATGAGCTGCTGCACAGGTGATTCAACCAGCTAATCAAGCATGTTGAAGAAGAAAAATCACAAAACCTGCTGGTTGCCGGCCCTCCAGGACCAGGATTGGACACCTCTGGTGTAGAGTATGTGCAAAAGCGCCCTTTAATAGTGATAAATCAGTCATCAGTGTTTATGAACGTGCACAAGATGACATGGACACTTTATTTTGTTGATCATAAAGGTGTGATGAACTGCAAACAATCAGCCTTAACAGATGTGGTACTGTATGTGGAAATCTGGGATTTTCTCTGCCAACTGAGGTGCTTCAGTCCTTTAAACAATATTCAGATCTCAAATTACATCAAAATTCTACTTTGCAGTATCATGCTTGTTCGTGGCAAACGTATATGTGCAACCATGCATATTTGAGATACGTAGAATGATGCCTATTTCCTGATGTCGAATCGTCTTTATTACAGGTAGCACTGTGACTGGTTATAAGGTTTAACATACTTTTATGTATTCATCAGAGGTTGCGGATTACATGTTCGGAACATAAGTGCTGTTGTGGGACCAAATCTGAATGTTTTAAATAAAAAGTGTTTGTGAATTAGCTCTCTTGTAGTCTCGACCCCTTTAAATCAGACTGAAATATTTCAGGAACGTTCATCATTTAGACAGCGGCGGCACATAACTCAAACCTGGAGCACCTGACAACCTGTACAGCTGATCTGGAGATAAGCCTGTTTAATGGAGGTGTGTGAGCAGAGTGTGTGTGGGGCTTTTTTAGGATCCTGTAGCTTAGATTGTGGTCATAATCTGGTGAGATGATAAGAAGAATAATATGCAAGTCAGATTTCTCTCAGGGAAACATTTATTGATTATACTCAGACCTAAGTAGCAGATGAATAAGTCTGCGTGCCCATGCCTGCACAGCTTAACTCGTGCATCACTTCTTGTTTTCGAGAGATGACACTTACTGATAATTCTGGATATTTCACCTGACAAAACAAAGACCACTTCTTAAATCCAGATGTTGAGTGGATTAGTTCAGGGGTGATCTCTCAGAGCGTAGAGCAGTTTAACCTGCCTCTAAAAGACCTTAAATGGTAACGGTAAATGGCCTGTATTTGATATAGCGCCTTCTAGAATCCTGGAACCCCCCAAGGCGCTTTACAACACAACCAGTCATTCACCCATTCACACCCTGGGGATGATGAGCTACATTGTAGTCACACTGACAGAGGCGAGGCTGCCGAGCACAGGCACCACCGGTCCCTCCGACCACCACCAGCAGGCAAGGTGGGTTAAGTGTCTTGCCCAAGGACACAATGACAACGACAGACTGAGCGGGGCTCGAACCTGCAACCTTCCGATTACGGGGCGAGCACTTAACTCCTGTGCCACCGTCGCCCCCTTAAGGAAAATCCCTTCACTCGATCTGGGTTGAGTTCAAATTAGACAAAATTATCTCAGCCAAATGTTTTTTTTGGCATCCTACTTATTAGAGAAAGTTCATAATTGTTTAAGAAACTTGATTCTATGATAATAACACTTCACTTCAGTCTCCCCGTTTTCAGATTACGAGTATACTAAATTTAACAGAATTGATCTAAACTCAGTTTTCTTTATTTGCAGATGATGTGATTATTAAAGAAAGGAATATCTTCCTGAACAAAATCACAAGACATGTTAATAAACAACTTTCTTGTGTCAGTAAATATTTTGGGCTATTAAAGGTGCATAAAGTAAGAAAGACATCCTGTGGTTGAATATGGGTACTGCAGTCCACGTATTAAATCTAACGAGTGACTCTTTTGTTCCTGTTCGTGAGTTTCGTGGCTGTTGCCAGCTACAGGTCAGCACCGGAAGATTCTAGATGACGAGCAAAGATTTGTCATACACAGTAGGTTGATAAGTAAATAAATACATTTCACTGAAATGTCGAGTAATGTAGAGCTGTATATTTTCAATTCACTGTTAGGATTATTAGCTCAACGTTAGCGTCTAGCGTTCTTCACCTGATATTACACCAAAAAGATGTTGTAGCTTCTCAGGGGTACAAGAAATAACTTCCAGGTCGCTCCTGTTTACTAGTTATTTCACTGTCTGAACTTCTGCTCGCAGCAGTATTAGCCAGCGCGGACTCATCAGCCCCACACACTCACAGATGGTAAACAATGAAAATGTCCCTCTCTAGTTTTTTAAAGACAGGAAAACTGGCAACTGTCCAGCCGGCTGAGAAGGAAATCTGTTTCATCGTCACCAACAGGGTTGAGACATTAGACTGTTTTTGTTATGACTTCACTGTGTAATTCTTACATATTGTACCTTTAAGGAGGGAAGTGTGAGATTTGTGAGTGTGATAGTTCTACCTGGTCGGTGCACCAGTACCAGGTTGCCAGTATGGTGAGGCCCAGAGTCATTCCGGGCCAGGGCAGGTCTCCTGTGACGGCGTCTCTGAACAAGTGCATGGCATCAGCCCGCGGCAGGTGACAGGTGCTGTTTGGAATAATCTTACTGGGCACTGCTATGCTGTATACATGCTCCAAGTTTCCAAAGCCACCAATCTTGTTTAAAGCTACAAACACAACGTTTAAATTTTTAAATGGTTAAGCGTTTGTCTTTTGCTTTTGAGACGGTGGAATCTGCACATACCGGTGATCGTTAGGATGACTGAACCAACAATCATGATGAATGTCTGTAAAGTATCTGTGTAGATGACAGCAGCCAGGCCGCCTGGAAGACAAAAGTTTATTTGTTGCTCTGTCAGCTTTTCAAAACTCCAACTTTAGGTTACAACTTGAGTTCTAAGGAGAAGTATGTTTTAACACAAACATCAGTCCTGTTTAATGATGTATTGTCAAAAAAAAGGAAACAACTTAAATACAATAGATTATATTTAAAGTGGACACATTACGCAAAACTTACCTGTTGCATCTGTTTGTGCTGCCATGTTGGTCTTTACAGCCTCTATTGACCCTTTGCACGTGACGTCACGCCACTCATGTGACCGCCCCCTTCGCCATGATGGACGGCAAAAAGACCGTTTACACCCGTAGAAACTCCAGTGAAGCTAGTCAAAACAAGCCAGTTTGTAGCCTTTTATGGCTTTTATTTAGTTGATTTGACAGTAAAATGGTTTTAGCTTGCTGCGTGGTCAGCTGCACTACGAGACGAGGACGTAAACTCAACTCGTTTTTTATTTTTAATAACTTTGATGGAGACTGAGGACGGAGATGAACTGCAGTGATCAATCAAGCAGACTAGCAGCCCTCAGATTTGCAGCGAACATGTTTTTACCGGGTAAGATTAACGTTCATTTATTTCACGAGGAAGACAGGGACAGGGATAAATGTGATGTGTTTATACTAGTTATTGATAATCCTGATGGATAGGTATTTCACCACGGAGGCTGCGCTCCATCCACTGTGGTGTAAAGCGAGACAATTATTAACAATATTAAAGCTCCGATGTATGATTACGTGTGTTAAAATGACGTTATTTATTTATTTATATGAGCGTCGCCGTTCAGAGATCTTCTCATTCCGGTGTGAGAGCAGCAGCTGAACCCGGTAACACCTCCAGCAACAGAAGCTGGTAGGGATCCGGACTTTTTAACAATCAGCTTTGGTGTAAAGTGAAACGCTGTTTACAACATAAAGTTCTAAATCCAGAGGGGTGAATTTAGGCAAAGTCAGCAACATGTTTACATCAGTGAACAGCTGCAGAGAGAACATAAGCTAACGTTGGTAAGCTAGTTAGCATACCGCTCTCTATGAGCCCCCGCTAGATGCGCTACTTCTTCTGATAACTGAACTGGGCATGAACTAGTGGAAGGAATGCTGGAGGAGTTTTGTTTTTGTTTTGATCGCAAAAACAATTTCAGGCTCTACTTTTCCCTTTGTTTAGTAATCGTTTCGCTCACTGTTTACACGCTTTTGCCGTCCACCATGGTGGACCCACGTGATTAGGTGACGTCGGTGCAAAGGTTCAATAAACAATCCAAGCTAAAAAAAAATCCATTTTCTGTCTGATTGGTTGTGGAATATTCTGTCCAAAACAAGTCATTTAAAAAATCCCTGTGTGTGATGTCACAAACAGGGAAATTAAAATACTGTAGAACCACCTCTCATGTGCTAGAGAGAGCTGGAGGAGCAGCAGCTCTACTCCTAGCCCCTCCTTGGTATGGGAGCTTCTCAGCTTACAGCAGTGTGAGAAAGAAAAGGGCAGGTGTGGCCAGCTCCAGCTTGATTTCTTAAAGTGACAGAGCTCTGAAACGACTCATTCTGGAAGGTAGTTAAAATGCCAAGAATAAAACTGCCAAATTAGCTTTATGTGAGAGGGATTTAGTGCAAGAAAGTTCATGAATGCGTTTGGTATCAACCATGGAACGATTATAACTTAAGAAAAAAAGTCATAATAGGTCACCTTTAATGTTAACGCATGTGCTCATGCTTACCTGCAATAGTGTAGAGAGCGGTGACAACCAGCATCAGGACAGTGGACAGGTAGAGGTTCCATCCCAGACACATTTGAACAAACAAAGCTCCAGAGTACAAGTCAGCCTGATGAGAAACAACTTATTTGTTCACAGGGGAGTTCAAGCTTTAGAGAATTGATTACGTTTGGGATATGAGTTTCTTTTAAGTTGTTATACCGATATCTTTGTGAAGACAGACAGCAGCAGCGAGAGGACCGCCAGGTAGGTTCGGATCCTCTCACCCCCAAAACGCCGTCCCAAATACTCAGGCATGGTGACGATCTGAATGCACACATTTTAAAATCAGCACACTGTCGTCATCTCATGAGGAATTATCAGTCATCATGAGTCAACTTTAATCACAGTGTGTAAACAACTAATCTGTTTAAACTATTAATTCTGATTGTAATTAGATACTAAAGGAAAAGAGTGTTACCATCTTTGTTGTTTAAATGTGGCTTTGATTGAAAGGCAGCGTTAACACCCTGCTGGGGAATTTACAAGTAGGGGAAGTCCTTGTTTGGTAAAAGCTTTCTAGCACCTAATTCTACCTGCAGAACCAGCCTAAACATGAAAACACACTCCCATCTGAGTGTCTGAGTGTAAACTAACCCCTGAGGAGATGTAGACTGGCACAAAGATCCAGGCCAGAGCCAGCAGCACATAGGTGGCCTGAGAGGGGAGAACAACAGGTCAAACATGAAATTCAGTTCAGCCAATGGGCCGCGAGCAGTCCAGATGAAAGCTTTTACTGGTCAGACGGTGTTTGTGTTGAGGAGTTGTTATACTGCCCCCTGCTGTCCAAGCTGCTGAAACCATATATATGTATGTAAAGACTGAAAAAAGTTCACCTCACCCAGGATCCCCAAAACAAAAAGGAAATGAGGGATCATCTATAGGAAGCTACAAAAACATTTATACTTTTATATGTTCAGACACAATGAGGAGATTAGTTTTCACATTCCATCTTTTTATTTTCTGTGCTGAAGCATCACGAGGGAAAAGAAGCAGCTTGTAAACAGAGCAGTGGGCCAGATCTGCTTCATTCCTCTCTACGTCTAGCCACTATTAATAGATCAGTTAGAACAAATGGTGCTTGGTTTAGAGGATGCGTTTTTTGTACTTACATTCCATTCAAACCCAGCGACAGCGATACCGCCGGCCGCTCCGGTCCCAGCCAGGCCGATGAACAGACCAGAACCCTCAGAACTGGCAAACAGAGATGACCCAATCTGTGTGGAAGAAAATGAGTTTTGATGCGTTCATTAAGGAAAAATCAGGGTCCTGTCTTCACAATTTTACTGTAGTTATTGTAAATACAACTGTGACAAGTAAATATGATGAACTTTGTTAAAAAGTAGGTTGAAAGTACAAAAACACAAATCTATTTGGCAAAAATAATTTAAATTGTATATCAGAGTGAAATGATTCCTATTGAGGAAACTGAGATTTTCCAAACACTAAATGTAATCTTAATTATTTAATGATTTAAAACACAAATGAGTCGAGCTGTTGGTGTGAGAGTGGAAACTCGTCATAACTTCCTTTTGTCTCACCTTTTGTTTCTTAATGCGTCACTTGTTCTCACTGTGTGACACGTCTGGACTGCAACCATGCCAGTTTAGCGCTCAGACTTGTTTCCTTCAGGGCAGCATTATTAGTATTCTCTGAATGCAGCTCGACAGTGTTTTACCAAAATAAGAAAGACGTTTCCTGACAAGGACGTCACCTGAATGGCAGAAGTTGCTCTAAAAGCAGGTTAAATACCGTAAATCCTCTAATACAAGCCCGGGCCTGTATTTGACTCAAGCTCATCAAGCTCCAGGCCTTTATTGGAAGGAGGACCAGAATTGGAGGCAGGCCTCAATTTCTATTTGAGCAAAATGAACTAATGGTTCGCTGGAGTTTTTGACAATTAAAATTGTGCCCACATTTTCAAAGTTAAACACATTTCTTTTAACAACGGTAGTTTCTGCTTCAGCCCTCTCCCCCCTCCCCCTGCGCAGCGGCCGCAAACTCACTGATGCGCCTGCAGCCTCTCGGAGTTCCTGCTGCTCTAAACATTAAAATAATTATTTCATTTTCTGTTCCTCACTTCTGATTACCTTCAGTGGTGTCTGTTTGTTGCAGCCACCAGGTACAAAAACTAACTTGTTTTTATTTGACTATTTTTCTGTCCTGCCTGTTTATTATCTTCCTGCATCTCCTCTCAGTCCTAAAGAAAAACTGCTACCTGGGTTCATATATATTCACCTTATGAGTTACCTTTGAACTGCAGTTCTAAAAGATCTACCGACCGCAAAAACAGTGGAGTGCGCGCTGCTTGGCGGCCGCATCAGTGATCGGTGCGTCACCGAGGACAAAACAGGTGATGCGCCCCGATCCACAGCAGCGAAACGCATCAGGCACAAATAAAAGAATAAAAGACAGAAAACATAAAAGGAAATGAGCTGACATGAACAATCGCGTGTTAAATTAGTTTATGAGGTGGCGACACCTGATTTGATAATGTTACTGTGGCCGTGTTCAGGACGCAGATGTCTGGAGCGTGTCAACAATCAGAGCTTTGCATGCACAAGCTGGTTAAGGTTAGGATGGGGGTGAGGGGAAGGTTAAATTGCAAGAGGGTAAACGTCACAATTTGGTTAAATGTCCGTTTTACGGCGGGTGTCAGTACCGACGCTCTGGCACAGCGCGTTGCCTCCTGACGCGCAGGAGCTTGTCACCTGCTGACAGCAGGCTGCTGTCTTTTACGTGGACTGCATCTTGCCGGTCATTATCACGTGACAGCGACTAGTAGATGACGGGCATAACAAGTCACTATAGAGCGGTGAAGTCGACTAGTGACTAGTTCATACAACCCCTACTGCTCCCCAGAGTGTTCTGCAGCATAATCAGCATGTTCTCTTTGAATTTGATATTAAATTTTCGCCTCCTCTTTGTCTCCGCACGGTTAAAGTTACCCTCGCGGTCTATCATTGGCAAATCAAAAGTGAGGTGGATGACATAACCGCCCCCCGTACTTGCTTGTTACCACATTCCACCCGACCACAATAAAAAACCGGCCATTATTCACCTCCGCCGACTCCGACACTGGCCAAAATATGATACCCAGCCGTTAATTAAATACAGGCTAATATTAGAGGATTTATGGTAGTTAGAATGGACAGAATTAAAAGTGCCTTTAGAAATGTTCAAGTTACACATGCACTAGTGCAAGTGCACCTGCGCCATTAAAACAAGGAATGAAAACAAAAGAGAGGGAAATTCTTTTGTAGTTTTACAAAAATATTTGATGAGAACTGATTTCTGCAGAGGTTCCATAAATGGTTTAACTCCATACGTTTGTATGCATGGCGCAGTGCCCCTTAACAACCTGAAAATTACATCATTAATGTCAATAAAACACAAAAATTCACCAGCGATTTCTTAGCATATTATTGTTTTTGTCGATGGCATATAATGAAATTCTCAACTGCATCACAGAAATATGTGGTAATCTATGTATGGAGCTAAAATTGGGACTTTAATGCATGTAACTTGTACCATGTTTTGTTACATAACAATAGTTTCATGTCACAAAACAAGAATTACTTGCTACAAAATGAGAAGTACATGCTAAAATCAAAAGTTACATGTTACAAAAGATGGTACAAGTTACGTTTATTTTAGTTCCAATTTTAGCTCCATACACAAGTATTTTTCTGCATTTTGCAGGCGAATTAGGGGCTCTGTACACGGGCGGCGACAAACAGCCACGATCAGCGAAATTTGTCGCTTTTATTACCTGACACACGGGAGGCGACCCGCGGCAGCGGCCAGCGGCAAAGCCGTCTCCGCGTTCTGTTCCATGGCGAAATCGATTCTTCCGTTGTTTTGTTTGGCTGTGTCAGGTTGGAGGAAATTAAGGTTATTTAAGCGGTTCAGAGTTAATAAAGTGGTAGATATGATGTTTCACAAGGTGCTGCTAGAGTTATGTGAAATCTTACTTCTGATTTTACTATAAAACATAATAATAATCAACTTCTCCTCCATGTTTGCTCGGAGATGTACGGAGCATCCTGTCCGCTCATTGGTGAGTGAATGAAACCTCTGTTGATTGGTCCTCGTCCGAGCGACAGCGATGAAAAGCTGAAAATATTTCAACTTTCTGGGATCGCGTCGCTGGGTCGCCTGTGCACGACACGTGCACGAGCGCAAAATTTCACACGCACGTTTTTCATGTTTCGCTTAGTATGAGGGAGACCCGTGATTATCGCTTTGTCACGACACGCATGTCTCATTGAAAATGAATGGAGGAGAGGCGATGTCGCCTCCAGTGTGCAGAGCCCCTTAGACTGCAAACTCAAACTCAATGGGGTGTTCTTTTCATAACTTTGTTTTTTTTTATTAAAATTTATTTAAAATTTCCTCTTGTCTTTATTATGTGTTGCTATCCATTTATGAACACATGTATTAAAAATCCAAGAATATATCTGCGTAACGTCTGAGCTTCAACAGTCATTTTGGTTTCTTTCAATTTTAATAAAGGGTTTGAATGATTTGTAAACTTGAACTTGTCATCGTTCTCGGGTCTAGGTGAGTCCTCCTCCTCAACTAACAATCTTTGGGGTTCTGTGTTCCACAGGTGAGGAGCGGAGAGGTACCAGCTGTTCTGAGTTACTCATTTGGAGCTCGGGTTTAAAAGGAGGATGGAGACACTACTCGAAGCCGGATGATTACTCCAGTATTGGTAACGCCTGCCACTCGTACTTGTTTGACCTCGCATGTTTGGATTATTTGGATTTTGACCTTGGACTGTTTATTGGATTACGGCTTTGAACTTGCTTCTGAAGCTCTGTTTGTTTGCCCTCCTAGGATTACCACCCCAACCTTCACCGAATTCTGCTAAGAACCACGGATCCTCGTTCACATCTCATCCTCCTCCACCGCTCCTGCATTTCTCCTCTCTGCTTCCTCACCTCCCGTCCGGCTGGATTACTACACTCATCTCCTTGGCACCCCGCAGCTCGCTGAGCTAAGAACTCTGAGCAATCGCCCTCGGCATCATTCACTGGATTTCAGTGCTACTTCAGTTCCTGTTTGTTTAAATAAAGACTTTAATTTCTTACCTCCTGACTCCTGAGCTGATTCTGCATGTCTTGGGTTAAACGCCTCCCACAAGCCATGACAGAACTATTACGTCTCAGCTTTAAACAACATTACTTCCTGCTAACTGATGAGCTGCCCCATGACTTTTCCTGTTGTATCTCTAGAAATCTCTTAAATCCCAGAATCACTACAAAAAGGATTTAAAATTTTCAAATTACTACAAATAAACATGTTGATTTGCTCAAACGTTAGGTTTTATTTTTCTTATGCCATGAATATACAGTGAGGGACATAAGTATGTGAACACCCTGTGATTTTGCAAGTTCTCCCACTTAGAAATCATGGAGGGGTCTGAAATTTACATTGTAGGTGGATTCCCATTGTGAGTGACAGCATTAAAACATTTGCAGGAAAATACATTGTATGATTTTAAACAAAGTATTTGTATTTCACTGCAGCACATAAGCATTTGAACACCTGAGAACGTGTTAATATTTGGTTCAAAAGCCTTCATTTGCTATTGCAGAGGTCAAACATTTCCTGTAGTTCTTCACCAGGTTTGTAGACACTGCAACAGGGATTTTGGCCCACTTCTCCATACAGATCACCTCTAGATCTGTCAGGTTTAGGGCTGTCGCTGAGCAACACAGAGTTTCAGCTCTCTCCAAAGACTTTCTATTGGATTTATATCTGGAGACTGGCTGGGCCATTCCTTGGTTATCCTGGCTATGTGCTTTGGTTCATTGCCATGTTGGAAGAACCAGCCAATCTTCAATGCTCCAACTGAGGGAAGGAGATTTTTGCTCATGGACCCATTCATCCTCTCCTTAATACAGTCCAGGGGTCTCATCCACTCCTTCCGCTTCCTCGGAACCACCATTACACATGACCTTAGGTGGGAGCCATCCATCAGCTCCCTGATCAAAAAGGCCCAGCAGAGGTTGTACTTTCTGCGGCAGTTGAAAAAGGCCAAGCTGCCGAACCAAGTGATGGTGCAGTTTTACACGGCCATCACTGAGTCCATCCTCACCTCCTCCATCGCTGTGTGGTACGCTGGAGCCACGGTGAGGGACAAAAATAGACTGCAGCGCATTGTGCGCTCTGCTGAGAAGGTGATTGGCTGCAGCCTTCCATCTCTCCAGGACCTGTACGTCTCCAGGACTCGGGGGCGTGCAGGCCGGATAGCAGCTGACCCTTCGCACCCGGGTCACAGACTTTTTGAGCCGCTTCCCTCAGGCAGGAGGTTACGGTCCATCCGGACCAGAACCTCCCGCCATAAGAACAGCTTCTTTCCATCTGCCGTTATACTTGTGAATAGATTATAAACACACAACAATGCTCGTCTTCTGTACTTGACACAACGTCACGTTATCAGCCATGTTACCATTGCCTGCCATTTTTTATAGCTGAAAGTTTTATTCAATTTTATTTTATTCTATTTAATCCTATTATTCATGTTATATGTAGCACATTAGTACCAAAGCAAGTTCCTAGTTTGTGAATTGTTTGTTCACTGACAATGGCAATAAACCTATTCTGATTCTGATTCTGATTCTCATTTATCAAACATTGAGTAAAATCCTTACTAAAACCGTACTTAAGCTCAGCAAAAAAAATGTACTTACACCAAGTAGGTTTGTGATCTATCAAACATGGAGGATGCACAGCTGCACGAAATCTCCGCTTCATAATTCAGAAACTATCTAGAAAGGTTCTCAGCTGCTTTTTAGTCACATCCCGCCCTCACCACACCCACTTACTGCCATAAATAGTTAATGCAAAGTGCCTTGTGGATCTCATGCATATACATAAGCCGGCTGTTGCAGCACTCCACCAATGACATGGCGACCGTAGATCAAGGCAGATCAAGGATGTGCAATTTCACAGAAGCAGAAGTTGAGGTACTTGTGGGTGAGGTGGAGAAATGAAAGGAAGTGCTTTTGCAAAACAAATATGAGAAAATCCACGGAGTGGCACAGCGCTGCTGAAGCCGTCAATGTTGTGAATTCTTCAGAGAGATCTGTGATGGATATTAAAAAAATGGTCCAATCAGGAGCCGATCCCCAGACTCCTGGGTGAGAGTCATGCGCGCTAACCAGTCAGCCAAACAGAGATGTCCTCTGTTCCACTAGCCAGGGTGCATCATTAATCGGGTCACAGTGACAGGACACACACTGTCACAGACGCATGACGTTCTGTCTCAATCTGTCCCCCTGCTGATATTCTGCATTCCTTATTCTGCGCTTCAGGCTGTGTGTGAGTGTGTGTGTGTGTGTGTGTGTGTGTGTGTGTGTGTGTGTGTGTGAGTGTGCGTGCATAAGTGTGTACGCGCGCGTGTGTGTGTGTGAGAGAGTGTGCGTGCATAAGTGTGTACGCGCGTGTGTGTGTGTGCGTGTGGGATTCTTGTTCTGTGTGAAAACGAAGCAGTACAAGTGATAATGCTGCAGGATTTCATAATTGTATCTTCTCAGCAGCAGCACTGCAGGTGCTCTCCGTGTCCAGCATGTATGTAAGCAAGGTCCTTAGTCAACTTAAAGTTGCGCACATTTTTCCGCTACGTTTATTTTCATAAATCCTAAAGTTTGCGTGGAAAGTTGCTTACGCAGTTTTCCAACCCCGTTTTGTGTGTAAGCAAGCTTGATAAATGAGGCCCCTGATCATCAAAGCATGATGCTTCCACCTCCATGCTTCACAGTAGGGATGGTGTTGTCGTGATGCAACTCGTCCATCTTTTCCCTTCAAACACGGCGAGTGGAGTTTCTTTTTCTTTTCTTTATTGAACATGCAAATCAATAGACAACCCAAAGCATTCAAAAAGTATCCAAATAGAAACCCACACATATGTATATGCATATATATATATACAGTGTGTGTGTGTGTGTGTGTGTGTGTGAGTGTGTGTGAGAGTGTGTGTGTGAGTGTGTGAGAGAGTGTGTGTGTGTGTGTGTGTGTGTGTGTGTGTGTGTGTGTGTGTGTGTGTGTGTGTGTGTGTGTGTGTGTGTGTGTGTGTGTGTGTGTGCGTGCGTGCGTGTGTGTGCGTGCGTGTGTGTGTGTGTGTGTGTGTGTGTGTGTGTGTGTGTGTGTGTGTGTGTGTGTGTGTGTGTGTGTGTGTGTGTGTGTGTAGAACATGTTCAATAGGAAGGGAACGAAGCTCTGGTAGCTTATATAATCCCCCCAAAATCAAATTTCAAGAAAGATAAAACACAAAAAATATATTTTTCCCTACACTGGGTGTCATTGCCATTTTCCTATAACGTGTTTTATCCTCAATCACACAAACAAAATTTACATTTTCTTAAGTTTCACCCCCCCCCCCCCCCACCCCCATGTTCACAGCTCCCAGTTCACCAACAATAGACAATGACAATCAAATGCAACACCCTTACAACATTTCCTCCTCCTGCATGTAATTAATTAGTATAATTTTTTTATACTTCTCTTTAAACTTATGCAATGAGGGACTTTGCTTTAGATCCTCACTTAGCTTATTCCAAACTTTTACACCCGTAACAGAAATACAAAATGACTTTAATGTTGTTCTAAAATGCCTAGTTAAGTTTGTATCTGAAATTATATAGGTTATCTGGTTTTATAAATAGCATTAGTAATTTGTTTGGTAATAATTTCCTATGCACTTTAAACATGAACGTCGCTGTATGTAGTTGAAGTAAATCTTTAAATTTTAGTATTTTAGAATATATAAATAAGGGATTAGTGTGTTCTCTAAAGCTAACATTGTGAACGACTCTCAGGGCTCTTTTCTGTATGACAGACATGGGTACAATAGATGTTTTATAAGTGTTACCCCATACCTCTACATAGTAGATAAGACAGGGATAAATCAATGAATAATAAAGGACATGGAGTGATTTATAATCCAAGTACTGCTGAGCTTTATTCATAATGTAGATGCTTCTCTCAACCTTATTATATACATGTTTAATTTGTGGTTTCCAACTTAATTTATTATCAATTATTATTCCAAGGAACTTATGTTCTGTTACTTGCTCAATTTCACATCCAAAAGTTTAAACCAAAAGGTTCTATTTTGATCTCATCTGACCACATGAGTTTCTCCCATGGATCTTCCAGACAGTCAAACTTCAGACGGGCGCAGACATGTGAGGACTTGAGCAGGAGAGCCTTCTGTGCAAGTAATGATTTTTAAACCATTATTGGAATGTTTACCGGGTGAAGTGCCTTGAGACGACTCTTGTCGTGATTTGACGCTGTATAAATAAACTTGAATTGAATTGATTTGTAGTGTTCTACCAACAGTGACCTTTGAAACTGTGGTCCCAGCTCTCTTCATGTCATTAACCAGCCCCTCCCATCTAGTTCTGGGCATTTTATCATCAGTGACACCCCACAAGGTGAGATCTCGCATGGAGCCCCCGTCCGAGGGAGACTGACAGTCGTCTCGAGCCTCCTCCATTTTCTAACAGTCGTTCCAACAGTTGATCTATTTTCACTAAGCTGCTTGGCAATATCCTCATAGCCATTTCCAGGATGTCTACGATGTTGTCTCTGGTGTCAATTTGACAGCCCTCTGGTCTTACCCATGGTGGTAGTTGGAGTCTGACTGACTGTGGGCTGGACAGGAGGTGGACAGAATAACAGGTCTTTGAGAGTCAGAACTCTTGCTGATTGCCAGGTGTTCCAATACTTCTGTGCAGCAGTGTAATACAAACAAATTATTTAAAAATCATACAAAATGATTTCCTACAATTTTAAAATGCTGTTTCTCACAGTGGGAATGCACCTACAGAGTAAATTCCAGATAACTCCATGATTTCTACTGAGACCATTTGAGCTGAAATTCCTCCCTGAAGCTGTTACACTTTTATGTTTCAACTTTGGGCGTTATTAAAAGTTTCTGTTTTTCTTTCAGTACTTTTTTACTACTTATTTTATTGTGTCTAACTTGTTAACTTTCCTTAATTCTTTCTCTTTAATAAAAATAATTTCAATCCAATATCAGACTTAGGCTGCAAATCTAAATTCAAAGCATGTCTAAGGGATGACTTGTGCTTTAAATGGTGATTTGACCGAGTCGACTGGATCACAGGAGACAGACAGACTCACCGGCCACCAGGCCATGTCCCTGCCAGCCAAGAAGTATCCACTCAGAGTGTTCCTGCTCACTCTGCATGATGACTGACAGAGAGAACAACCGGTAAGCACAAACTAAATTACCAATAAAAACAAAACACACAAACATAAAAGCCAGATTCTTACCCAGATGCCAACTGCCAGGTTCAGAAGGAAGTATGTAGCAACAACAATAATGTCAGACAAGCTGAAGGACTGTGATCGCGCGTAGAAGTTGGTGGTGGAATTAGACATCCTCAGTGTTCACAAGAGTATTTATAATTACAAAAACATCCACTTGTCAGCCTTTTCTTTACACCTCCCAGACTAACTCACACAAGTAGAAACAGGCTCTCTAAGGACTTCCAAGTAAACTTTGAATCAGTGCTACAGGCAGAGTCAGACCCAGACTCCGGCTGCTGGTGAAAATGCCCTCTCAGCTGACCCCTGAGTTACTGTAAAGCCTGGGACAAACCATCAGACGAACGCGTGGAGAGTGTAGTTCCTCCTCTGAATTGATGATTAAACACATCACCTTAATGGGGCACCTGCCGCACTGACACACACTGTGCTAGGGGATAATGGAGTGCACAGCACAGCCGTGCGCAGGGGGGCAGCAGATGCTCCCGCAGGCCAGAGTCCACGCTGACACACACACACACACACACACACACACACACACACACACACACACACACACACACGGTCAATCATTGGTGGTGACAGGGATTATTATCATTAGCGTCCAAACACAAAAACAGCTTCTGCTAAGGTTCTAATACGGTTAAGAGAAGTGTGTCTGAGAGTTGCTCTATCAGAAACGTGTGTGTGTGTGTGTGTGTGTGTGTGTGTGTGTGTGTGAGAGAGAGAGAGAGAGAGAGAGAGAGACATTGTTTGTATACCAATTTCTCAGTCGTTTTGCTCATATGCTGCTTGAGACAAGGATGTAGAGAACGTGCGACCCAGGTTTCTTTAAATGAACTCACGTCACTTTTCTTTTACCAGAGATTTAAATTCTGATTTTTATGAGAATTGATGGAGTTTGGGCTGTATTTTCAAACAATGCTCTGCAAGGTCTAACACAATATTTCAAGATGCAAGCAAAGTATCGGATGCGAATGACTCTCAGCTGTAGCCAAATCCATTTTTAGCAAACAATCTGAAAAATAATCAGAGTCAAAGCCATTTTTGTCTTTGCTAAGTCGGTTAACTGTGGCGGCCATCTTGAATGGAGCTGATGTCAAATGTTACTGTTAGATGTAAAATCCATCTGGTGATTCATGAGATGTTTTGATAGCAAACAGACAAATAACACACTCAAGTTCGCTTTTCTATCCATATTAGGACTTTGTATTGCTTTCCATTCATTTTAGTAACTGCACACACACACACACACACACACACACACACACACACACACACAGACACACACAATGTCACAAAGACAACACACTTTGTCAATAGTTCAACACGAGAGGACAGAAAGTCCAAGAGAAGGATGCTAAGGGATGGTTAAATGAACTCTGTCTCACACACACACTGCTGGTCCAGTGTTTGTCTACTATATGGAGCAGATGGTGGTGATGGAGATGCCCTGACGTCACACACATCATCATTAATCTCTGTCCCTCACACACACAAACAGTAAAATGTGAAGCTGAAAGCCGACTTCAAAGAGTGTTTTGACAATTATGAGAGCAAAGTTTGTGCATCTGAGAGATTCCATATGACAATAAAGTAAGATGCATACTCGTATTTGAAATAGTTTTGATGTCAAAGATCAAGTAACTGGGTAAAAACAGGGTTTTAGTATAAAACTGAACACAGTAAAAAACATATTAGGTCCTGTACAGTAAATAATGTATAATATGAAACATATAACTATTGTATTTGGTTTTTAAAAAGTTTTGTAGGTAAAGGGGACGTATTATGCTAAAGTCATCTTTTGCATCCTTTTTTACATTTTAAAATGTAAAACTTGTTACAGAGGAAGCAAACCCCAACTGGGCTTATTTTTCATGTATGAAACATGTTTTTACCTTAAATACATTCATCTCAAAATCTAAAAGAAAAGAAAAAAGAAAAAACGCAGTTCACACACACACAGACATTCATTCAGACATTGACATTCATTTTATTCTATTTTTTTTCATTCACAAGGTAAAATTAAATTGATAAACAACAAAACTGTCAAAATGCATTTTTGTTTTAAAGAAGAAAAACATTAAAGAATAAACTACTGAAATAAACTAAATAAAACCAAATATGAAAATAACCAGTAACAGGTTAAAACGCAGTTATTTTTACTGTTCGTTTTTAATCTAAATACAGTTTAAAACTAATTACTTGTCATCTGTCATTTATTTTGATGGATGGCCACATATTCTGTTTGTAAGGGATTTATGAATTATTTAGGTCATCCGGATGGATCTAGTATGTTTTAGACAGAAAGGATTTTTCGCCCTCTTGCGGTCACACGTTGTTACTACAGTCTTCGTTAAGTAGTGTAGTGTAGTTTCCTTCAAATATAAGAACATTTTAGGGTTTTAATATTAGCGTAAACAAAATAGTTAATCTAACGGGAATGTCATCCTTATGTGTCGGACTAAAACTGGCAAATGTCACCCATTACTGGTGTTTTTGTTCAATCTTTTTAATTTCTTACACATTTTCCGCAACACGAATAATGTTCCACAATGTTTACCTGCAATGCATGATGGGAACTGTGGTCAAACTCTACCAGCCAATCAGGTGACAGCTTGCTAGTGTAACCCGGATGTAATTCTTCACAACAACAAAAATGCCGGGAACTTCAGGTGTGGCGGTTGCTGCCGAAGCTTAGAGGAAAACATTCATGGAAGAGACGTTTTCTGGTATATTTAGAACTGGTTGAAATATTTTCAGTTTCTCCGACTGTTAATGTCAACCGTAAAATTCAACATGGACGAATATGACGAGATGTTCGAGATTGAAGACCACTTTGAGGAGCAGTTTGCCGACGAGCTGGAAGTGTTGGCTGAGATGGAGGGTGAGTCTTCAGCATTTATCAACGTTAATGTTAAACTCTAAAACTCCACACAGATGTCTTCTTTGTTCTGTGCATATATGAGTTATGTTGTAACACATTGTGTTGTACAAACACTACACAAATACTTTTACTTTGAAAAATATTATATCGTGCATATAAACAATACGCTGTATGGTTTTCATCTTTTAAAAAAATCTATATTGTTAAAAATACTTCAAACTTATTGCAAAAGTATGGAAAAAACGGGAAGATTTTATTCTTTGCTTGAATGTGTGTGTGTGTGTGTGGGGGGGGGGGGGGGGTCACTGCAATTACGTTTTATAGGATCAATTATATATTTTGTTTACAGTCAATGAGAACAAATGAGCAGAAACTATACATGTTTTGAACTGTTAGTTTCGTGTATAGTGTGTTAGGCAGGCTGTGTTCGTGTGTATTTTAAGGAAATGTGCCTGAAATGGTGGAAAATATCCTTAATAATTTCTTTTAGAGAAAACCTGCAAACCGGCGAAACGTCAGAAACAAAGCACAGGAGACGACATTTCCGACATCGAACACCTACTGGATGATAAACCAATCAGTAGGTTGTTATTCGTTCTGCTGTTTGATTGCGCTGAAAAATCTCATAATTAATGTAAATGCTTCCTTTTAGCTCCAAAGTCTACGCGGCAGAAGAAGGAAATGGGTGTGGTCAAGAGGCTTTTTAATGCAGCAGAAAGTCAGGAGAGGAAAGTCCCATCGCAGCATGACGACATCACACCACCTTCCTCTCCTGAGCATTATGAGCCATCGGATGCTGTGAGGTAGGTGGAAGAGGACCAGCTAGTTTAAGGTTTAAAACCAGTAAGTCGTACAACAAGCTACATCAGTAGATGGATTTGTGCTTCAGGTCCACTCCAGTTGTGTTGGACATCAGCGGCTTTGCTGAAATCCCGGAGACTCCCGGGCGACATCCCATCACAGGTTCACCATCATCCCTGCATGTGCTGAAGCGACCTCCTTTGGAGGGAGACTACATCAGCGTGACGGACTCCTCAGGGAATCGGGTTTATCTCAGACAGAAAGAGGACACAGATACAAAGGTTGAAGGCCTTGTGGCTGTTCTTCTGTCACGCTGAATGATCCAGCTGCAAAACTCTCCTAAACCCAGAATAAACCGCTTTTTTGTGCTTCTCTCCAGATAACTGAGTCCAGACTCATACCAAACTCCTACGGTGCCCTGGGGCTGCTGGCGGTTCCGATAGGAGTTTTGAGGACACAGGAAGCTGAGCGGGTGAGTGACCCCTGTCCAGAGCTCAGCCGTCAAGGTTAAACTAAACGTCCTTAAACAATTTTCTTTGATTTGAATTTGTGTAGCGCCACCAGCAGGTTGTTGAGGAATCCCAACGTCTTACAGAGCTACTGGACAGGTCTCTATCACACACACACACACACACACACACACACACACACACACACACACACACACACACACACACACACGGAGAGAGAGAGCTGTATGTGCTACTTTAACAAACTGTGTGGGTGGGTGTTACTACTAGGGATGCACCGATCAGGTTTTTTGCTGCCCATCACCGATACCGATCACGTGGATTGGCCAGAAATTTTCTACAACATTATAATGAGTGCTACAAACTACATAATCTGGGAATAAAGGAAATGTAACCTAATCTAAAATGGTCTGTATTAGGGTTGTCACGGTGTGAAAATTTAACCTCACGGTTATTGTGACCAAAATTACCACGATTTTCGGTATTATCGCGGTATTTTTTTTAAACGTGCTACATTTTCACACAATTAAATAAACCCTGTATGTCAGGAAATATTGTCCTCAGTTTGTGTCTAAATTTTGCCTAAAATGTGTTATTTTGTAAATATGTTGTTTATTTGTTTACATTTTTCCCTTTAGTCTTTAAAATACCAATATTTGTCCATAACTTCTTATTTTATGTCTATTTGATGTCATCATTTAAAAAATATTACATCAGATGATATTCAGTACTCAAGTAGCCTTCTAATCAGATACTTTTTTACCCTTACTTGAGTAATAAACCCTATATCAGGAAAATATTGTCCTCGGTTTGTGTTCCAGTGAGCTTTGCAGATGTGGGAAAATGTCATCAGGCAGTAATCATTGTTAAATTCATAATTATTCTCGGAGAGAGACCAACTCTTATCTGCCCCTGGGAGCCCCGTAATGCATAGCGTCATTTCAACATGGCGGTGTCCGCGACACGGTTTATATGCAGGTAGCGGCGCTGCGGCTGCTTTATATAGCGACTCGTTGCATTCTCCCTCAACCCAAATCCTCGGATCACGCTTTTTAGCTAAAACGCTAACGTTAGCTTGCCTTGCGTTGACTGTAGAGTTGTGGGTGATGGTCACGCAGATGTGTCATGAGATTTGAAGCGTTGCTGCCTTTCACAGACACTTTTTCTGCACGTGCTGCAAACAGGATAGCCGTCTTCTATCAGCTGTCCCTCGGCATTCTTCAAATATCCAAAAGATGCCCGTACTTCCCACTTTGTCTTCTTTGAGGGATAATAAATGTCCTGAGCGCTGCCGTCTCCTCCTTTGGCCATTATTTCAGCTTTAGCTTCAAGAAAGTTTTGGTTGTAAACAACAAAGTGCGCATGTGCCGCCGGCAACTTCAGCAGATGATACGGTGGCTGGTAAGGGTCACCGCGCCTACACCGCAGCCAAGGTAATCCACCGAGATAATATAGTTTTTTTAAAAACAAGACGGTTATTATTATTGTCAACTTTTTTTTTACCGGGGTTTACCGCTACACTGGTTACCGTGACAATCCTACCTGATCGGTCTGCTTTGATCTATTTTGAAAATTCCGATCAAAACCGAAAGGGGCGCTATCGGCCGATTACGATCAAATGCCGATCCATCGGTGCATCCCTATGTGTTACACTCCAGCAGTGTGAACGGCGTCTCTGCTGAGTTTGAGAACGCAGAAGATGAGAACGCGGACCCTGAAGACGCAGAGGGACGGGCTTCTCGACTGTGGGTGGACAGGTTCTCTCCTCGCCATTACACCGAGCTCCTAAGTGATGACGTAGGTGGTGTTTGTTATAAACCTCTATCGGCCTCGGCTCTGGTTAATGACCGCCTCGATGCTTTGCTGCAGTTTACCAACCGCTGTCTGCTAAAGTGGCTGAAGCTGTGGGACACCGTGGTGTTCGGACGAGAGAGGAAGTCCCGCCCTGCGTTCTCCGACAGGCAGACCGGCGGGCAGAAGTCTTTCAAACCCAACCAGGGAAATCAGAATCCGAATCGCTTCAAGAGTAAGATCGAGATGACTGAGGAGCTCCTGGAGGCTGAACTGGACCAGTACAAACGACCCAAATTCAAGGTGGGCGTCATGTGAGCGTTTTTGTATCTGCCCTGAATGAAGCATGTGATTGATTCATGCCTGTCCATAGGTGGCATTACTGTCCGGTCCTCCCGGTTTAGGGAAGACAACCTTGGCTCATGTCATAGCAAAGCATGCTGGGTATAATGTGGTAGAGATCAACGCCAGGTTAGACACCTTTCATCAAAACGGGCTAAATCAGAGGATTTAATCCACTCTAATCTGACTGTCCTGCACATCTCCGCAGTGACGATCGCAGCGCAGAGGTCTTCCAGAAACGCATCGACACGGCAACGCAGATGAAGTCCGTTCTAGGAGCCAGTGAGAGGCCCAACTGTCTCATTATCGACGAGATCGACGGAGCACCTGCGGTACTGTCCAGGACAACGTGTTTGTTTATAGGAAATGGGAATCAAAATGATTCCAGTTTGTGTTGTTTGTGCTGCTCCGCAGGCAGCCATCAACATCCTGCTGGCGGTTCTGAACCGGAAAGACGGGCCTGCCGGAGAGGCCGGAGCAGAGGCTGCAAAGAAGAAGAAGAAGAAGGAGTCCATGCTGCTTCGGCCAATCATCTGCATCTGTAACGACCTGTAAGCAACACTGATGCTCAACAAACGTGAGCAGTTTTAGGATTTAAACGTTGGAGATCACTTCTTTTTACATTTTGTATTCTAGCTACGCTCCAGCTCTCAGACCTCTCAGGCAGCAGGCCTTCCTCCTGGCTTTCCCACAAACCCAACCCTCTCGTCTCACACAAAGACTTGCCGAGGTTCACACACACACACACACACACACATGCACGCACGCATGCGCACACACACACACACACACACCTAAACACACGCACACACACACACACACCTAAACACACACACACACACACACACACATACACACACACACATACACCTAAACACACACACACACACCTAAACACATACACACCTAAACACACACACCTAAACACACACACACACACACACTCACACATACACCTAAACACACACACACACACACACACACACATCTAAACTCTGACAGTTTGTAAATTTCAGATCTCAGTGCAGCAGGGGCTGAAGGCAGACTCGGCTGCTCTGATGTCGCTGTGTGAGAAGACCGACAATGACATCCGCTCCTGCATCAACACACTGCAGGTGTGTGTGTGTGTGTGTGAAGGAAGGACGGTGTGTGTGTTGCTGGTGGAGCTCTCGCATCGTAATGTTTATTTCGGGGCTGTGCAGTTCCTCCACAGTCGAGGCCTCAAGCAGCTGGACGCCAGAACCATTCAGAGCGTCTCTGTTGGGCAGAAAGACCAGAATAAAGGCTTGTTCCACCTGTGGCAGGAGATCTTCCAGTTACCGCGTACTAAACGGTACTCTCGACAACAGGTCGCACTGACGAGTGCGTCAGAGGTGTGATGCACACTTGACTTGGCGTTTTGTTTCAGGAAACGTGTCGGTGAGGGATTCGATGAGGCTCCCGGTTCAGGAAGTGGAGCTCAAAGGTTCCAGAATGTTTTACACCTCGCATCGTCCAGCGGAGAATACGAGAAGGTGTCTCAGGTACCCAAATTGACCTACCAGAAATGAGCAGTGACCTGCGATTGGATAGAGAAACCAGTTTAACCAGTTAGCCTGCTGTGTCCCTCCTCCTCAGGGCTTGTATGATAACTACCTGTCCATGCGAGTGAGGGATCCCAACCTGCAGGGCACGTGTGAGGCTCTGGACTGGCTGACGTTCTCCGACAGGCTGAATCAAGTGATCTTGCACGGACAGAACTTCTCTCTGATGAAATACCTGCCTTTCCTGTCTGTGGCCTTTCACTTCCTGTTCGCTCACACAAACGTGCCTCGCATCAGTTATCCTCACAGCCATCACGAGGTACCAATCCAGAAACCAGAGTGGTAGAAACCTGTGAGATCTTATCACTGATGCACGGCTGTGCCCTCTCCAGGCCTCGTCCCGCCTCCTCGGCTGCAGGAATGCTTTGTCCGCCATGTTGGCTGACATCCCAGCAAGCGTCCGAGCGAGGGTCAGCCAACTCAGTTTGAGCCTCGACGTACTCAGCCTGCTCCTGGACATCATCTGTCCCAAACTACGGCCTGTATGTGAAAACATTTACCGTAGTCCTGTGCGGGTTGGAGCTTTGGAAATGCCGCGCCCGTTCATGAATTTGAGAGATTCTGATCAAAATCCCTGGTGTCATTTTCTGCAGGTGAACCCGCAGCTGTTCAGCAGCAGGGAGAAGGAGCAGATGCACGAGCTGATCGACACCATGCTGGCCTACAACCTTTCATATAGGCAGGACCGCACACCTGAGGGGCAGTACATATACGTGCTGGAGCCGTGAGTACACACACACACACACACACACATACACTGTTGCTGCTGGAGACACGCTGAGCAGATGTTTGATTGCGGGGTGTTGAAGGTCACTGCTCTTGTCCACATGCTGGCTCTCTGCACAGCAGCTTAGAGTTTAATCCCCTTAGCACCTGGTGTGTGTGTGTGTGTGTGTGTGTGTGTGTGTGTGTGTGTGTGTGTGTGTGTGTGTGTGTGTGTGTGTGTGCGCGTGTGTGTGTAAGAGAGAGAGAGAGATGGTCATGGAGTCAAATCAAGGTAGCAAACAGAAATCCCCCACTGCTGGGCCGACGAACGGGTAACAGGATGCATAGATCCACTTACTTTTCGTAAATCTGAAGGGAAATTTTGCACTGGACGTTTGGGACGTTTTATTTTTTAGATTTGGAGTGTAATCCCTACAACCACCGAGCCCGTCAGTTCTGTGACTCGGCCATGCCGGACCCAGCCGGGGAGCGGCCCACCGTCCACAATGGCTCCTTCCTGCAGGCTCGCTGTGATGAAGTGCTGGTGACCAACGACTGGTGCCTGCCCCTGGTGTTGGCTCTGATGGTGCTGCTCCTCATCTACACCTTCCTGTACCTGCCCTCTCTGGCATACCACAACTCCACTCTCTGACGGATTAGGAAAACTCAGGGACGGTCAGCTCAGATAGAGGCGAGCGGATACGTGTCTTCCCAGCAGGAAGCTTTGATTGGACCGCGCCGTACGGACTCTGATGGGTCAGATTCTGGTCTGACTGTTAGCATGAGACAAACTGTAGAAGCAAGGAGCAAATAGACCCGATTAATACTAATAGTGTAAATAATATTAATTCAGTGAGTAAAGCAGGTATTTGGGAGTATATAACATTCATCATTTTTACTCTGTTGATCCATGAAACTGTGTGTGTGTGTGTGTGTGTGTGTGTGTGTGTGTGTGTGTGTGTGTGTGTGTGTGTGTGTGTGTGTGTGTGCTAGTGCTCATAAGAAGATTAAGGTTTTAAAGAGTGACTAATTACCTGCTACCTTCTTCTAACAAGAGTTCACCTTCGGGTCACCTGACTTGTGTTTTGTTTTGTCTGTGAGTGCAGACGCGTCGAGGAGGTAGCGAGGTTTCCAGGCCTGCCGCCACGCCGGCAGCTGACGTATCAGGCCAAACAGACCATCAGCAGGGAGATGGAGCAGGAGAAGATGAGGAGAGCGGAGCAGACGATGCTGCAGAGAAATCCTGCTGCTGCAGCGGTGAGTCCTTCCTTTAAGCTGACTGTGAGTTCGCCGAACAAAGGTGTCTCTCCAGTTGGTTTATGTGTGATCGTGGTGCAGAAAGAAGAGGAAAAGAAGAGCGCAGGTCCAAAACCGACCAGGAACCATCAGCAGAGGTTGGAGAACATCGTCAAACAGACCATAGTGGAGATGAGGGTGAGACATGGATGCACACACAGCTTTTCTTCTCTGCCTTTGTGTGTGTGTGTGTGTGTGTGTGTGTGTGTGTGTGTGTGTGTGTTATTTTGGAACCAAGTTCTGCAGCCTGTTGGACTAAAGATCAGAACCCCAAGCATTTAAATAGTTCATTAATTGAGTGATGGAGCCTCTAGGGGGCAAAAATCAGGATAATGAGGAGCTACAGTCCCTGATGGTAAAACAGGGAAATTAGGCTAACAAAAGTGTGTGTGTGTGTGTTTTCACTGATTTTCACCTTGTTACAGTAACTTCCCAGCCAGCTCTTGTTAGCTAACCCCTGGTTGACCTCTGTGTGTTTGTGCTCTGCAGCCTGAAGTGGACTTCTTTGGTCGAGCTGTTGCCCCCAGACCTCAGAGAGCAGAGCCGTCCTCGGACACGGGTACAGTAGGCCCTCTGCAATGTCAGCTTCATTCACCCAAGCCCTCAGCGGCTAATGTAAAAGAGTAGAGATAAAGGACGAATGATGTAATGTTTCTAATTTAGTTCATCAGCAAAGTTCTCTAACAAAGTAGTGATTAAACCGCCTCTGCTGCTCCTAAGCTTAGAGACAGCCTTATAATTAATATTTCATTCAATGTAAATTAAAGAACTAGAATACTTTTTTCTAGTCCTCGTCATTCTAGCTTAAGACCCCAAAAAAAATGTCTGACTCATTTTTTCTGCTGCTTCTGATCCAGCTGAAGTCAATGGGGTCAAACATCAGGAAGACAAAGTTCAAATTCATTCATAAAAATAAAAGTTTTAGTGACTTCACCAACATTGTAATGTAAAGCAGTGTACCCTTTAAAACCACTAACTCTCCAGGAAACCAGATCATTAGGGTGGCTGTTTGTAGGCCAAACAGGAGCAGCAGGGGGATCTGAGCTAAAACAGGCACTGATCCACATCCTGGAGCATCATGCCGCCATCGCGGATCACACAGGGCTCCGATCGAGGACGCTCATCTGTTGTGTATCTAGATTTCGTGATGATGCCAGAGGTCGATGCACAGGTACATCTGTAGGTCATAACTGTAACCGAAGACGGTTTAGGATTGGAGATCACCGGTCACATTTCACGCTGGAGTTTTAGCAAAGATCATCTTATGTTATGTTGACAAATGACGTTTTAGTCCAATGTTGAAAATAGCACTTCAGTCAGTTGAAAATGCAAGATCACGTCCACTCAGTCAGCATTTGGAGATCATTTTAAGCTAGCACCAAACCAAAGTCGCACTCCATATTTTTAAAATGGACAGAGTTATGGCAATTTATCGTGTTCGCCAACGTTGATCTTTATTATTGACTTTATATTATCTGTCATGAGGCTCGTTTCCACTGTCGGAACATCTGGGTCGCTTTACCGGGCCTTCACGGCATGGCTTTCCGGGCCGTTGTAGGGAGCAACAGAGTAGCTGAGCTGGGGTGTTTACTCTGAAATGTCCCGCTAGAGTTGCTGGGCGGGTCTTAAGGCTAACTCGTGCTGACTGGTTGTCACGCAGTGGGAAATTATATCAGCAGACGTTGCCAAACGTGGAAGACTTGTTGGTGGAGCAGAATGGAAGGAAAGGAAATGAGCAGTGTTCACTTGGATCACCCTAACCCACGCCGCTATAAAATCACTGTTTCTAAACTCCAAACACAGAAAAATCTGAGAAAATCGTTCACAACACCGTCATTTATGTTGCTTTGTTGTTCCCTACAGAGCACTGTAAAATACTGTGTGCTTTAACAGAATTTAAACTTCTTATGTTGCCCTAATGTGCACGGAGGCCTTTTGGTGCGGATCAGTGACATCACTTACTGCCAAGATGGTCGCAATATGCTGACCTCTTAGCAAATTCCTGAAAGGGACCAGAGTTTACAGCCATTGCATTTTTCCTGTCATCTTCTCGCTTTCCAGAAATTTCCTGAAACTCCTTTAGTGGAAGTGTAGCTTTAGAGCCCTGAGTTGATGTTTCAAAGCATCTTTTCATCCCTCCGTAGGAGAGAAATGTGCAGTTCTTGCAATGGGAACGGCAGTGGGGAACAGCGACGTGTGGTTCCGCTTCAACGAGGGCATGTCCAACGCCGTCCGACGGAACGTTTACATCCGAGAGCTACTGTAACACACATGAACACACACTCTTCTCTGTATATTTGTTGTTTCCATGTTGTATAAATGCATCCAGATCAACCTGAAACATTGTTCTTTGTTCAAAACAGTCTTTATTTGGATTGACAGTGTAAAGAGCCAATAAAAAGAACATTGCTCAAACTTGTAGAAAGCTACTCAGTGATTTACACTCACACACACACACACACACACACACACACACACACACACACACACACACACTGGTCCAAGCAAATACCAGCATTTGGGTTTTCTCCATATAAATAAAAACAGTGATGTGTTTGAGCGCGTGTGTGTGTGAGAGACGGTGAGAGCGAGTTAGTGCAGCGAGGTTGTGTGGAAGTGCATGTTTCTTCAGATTTTGTGTGTGTGTGTGTGTGTGTGATCATTACAGGATCACACACTTGCCCTTCTCCACCCAGGGGTTGGCCCGCATCAGCTCAGGGTTCAGAAATGGATCTTCACAAACACACCCTTCAATCCACTTCACCAGCCTACGAAAACAAAACAATCCACATGATGCACACGCACAACACCCGTGTGTGTGTGTGTGCGTGCGTGCGTGTGTGTGTGTGTGGCAGAGACTCACTCGGTAACAGTGATGGAAGACTTCTCTCTGTTAATCGCCAGCTGATACTGAAGGCTTTCCACCTCCCTCTTCATCTGTGGGACGTCCAACTCGGCCATGATGTCGCTGCTGTGCACACAAACAAGGAAAAACAACACGCTGTAGCTCTCTTACACAAACACACACACACGCCACATGCAAAGCAGCTGTTTTTACTTACAGATATCAGATTAGATTTCACTTCTGAAAAGGTCAAAATAGCAGAGCAACCTTGGTTCGTCACTCTGTGTGAAGTTCTCTTTGCTCCAAAACTATTTTTAAATATATATTTAGTTCTGTGTTACGTGACTATTCCCAATAACTGCTGCTATGCTTTAATAAGATTTAAGCCTGCAGAGCCATGATGCGCATTTAAGCAGATGCTCCCTTAAAGGGCAGAGATGAGCAGGATGTAATGTACTTTACCTGAAACACTGAAATGTTTTCTCAATCGTTTGTGCACAGGCATGGGGATATTCACATGGGGCGGGGGGAGGTTTTAATTTCTGCCGATAATACAAAAAAAAAAGGCTTTGTTACAGCTTTTTAAAGTTTTCATTCCATTCATTTGCCATTCTGGGTGTTCTTAGATGTCTGTTTTGTTTTTCGAGCCTGGAACATGCGGTCGTCTATGTTGGTGCTGGTGCCATCGAGGAGAAAAGCAAGAAACAAGGTAGTGTTTGATAAATAAAATGTCAAGAAATACATGTGAATACTATCTATGGGAGAAGCTCAACGAAGGCACCTTTTATTTTGTGAAATTACATTTTTAATTGTATATTTGGTAAAACCACAGTCGGAACCCTCGGTTAAAAAGTAAAAATAAAACAGAACAAATTCAGTCGGCTTCTGGAGCTTGACAGGGTTTGTTTCTTCAGGGTATTCTTGAAAAGCCTATCCTTCACTCCCATATCCAATATTTTGTTTTAATCTCAACTCTGACTTTTTTCTCGGTGGCCCTAATATATTTTCCAAATGTTCCTCTAATACACCGTCCTAGTGTTTTACATGGATCTGTCCTAGTGTTCTATGTGGCCCAACAACACTGTCCTTGTGTATTGTGTTACCCTAACACACAGTTCTAGTGTTCTGCGTGGCTTTAATACACTGTCTTAATGTTTCGTCTTGCCCTAATATACCATTTTAGTGTTCAATGTGGCTCTAATACATCGTTCTATTATTATATGTTGCCCTAATACACTGTTGTAGTGTTCTATGTGGCCATAATACACCGGTCTAGTGTTCTGTGTAGCCCTGTTCTTTTATGTGACCCTAATACACTGTTCTACTGTTCCATTGGGCCTTAATGCACAGTTTGTGTAGTATGTGACTTTATTACACCTTTTTAGTGTTCTATGTTGCCCTAATACACCATTCTAGTGTTCTGCGTGGCTCTAATATTGTTTCATCTAGCCCTAATACACCGTTTTAGTGTTCAATGTGTCCATAATGCACAGTATGTGACCCTGTTACACTGTTTTAGCATTCTGTGTTGCCCTAAGACATCGTTCTAGTGTTCTGGGTTTCCATAGTGACTGGTCTCAGGGCAGTCTGCAAAATGTAAAGTACCCCAATAAGAACTCTAGCATAAAGGCAGCCACTGGCCTTTCTATACCTCCTACATGTCAAACAGAACAATGACGCTTTTCTGTTTGCTGCTGAGTGAAAAATGTTTTTATTCCTTAAAAGGCCTCAGTCAGAATCTTTGAACATCAGCTTTGGAGTCGAACTCATGAAGGAATTGGACAAAATACATCTTTAAAATTAGGGATGGGTAAAAGTTAACTGATGCCAGGAACCCATACCAATGCAGTTGCCTGAAAGTGGCTTCACTGTAACTTGTCATTTCTGTTCACCTAATATTTTAGTTTTGTGACTATTTCTATTAATATATTTTATTTTTTATCTACCTCACATTCTTCCTGTTGAATTCAGAGAAGAAAATAACACCTATATTCCAATTCCATGCATTTTTGTGTGGTAAAAGTAAGGCTGGGCAATGTGGCCTAAAATCAATATCACGATATATTGAGGATTTCACCTCGATAACGATAAATGGACGATATACGGGTATGCACAGAAACAAAAGTTGTCCACTAGATGGGGCTGTCATGTGGATTACGTTGAGTCACATTTTTATGTGACTCAAGGTGGAACAGCTTCTTAAAGGAACATGAATGTTGCCAACCTACACACATCTTTTCATTGTTTTATTATCAAATGTATTGACATGGGGAAAATGATCTCGATACGAGTCAGAAATTTCGATAACGATACATTTTGATTTAGCGCCCAGCCCTAGGTAGAAGTATCATCATCGGTATCGTACTCAGATCCAAGTATTGGTATGGTATCAGTTTAGAAAAAGGTGGTGTCGGTGCCTCGCTATTTAAAATATTTTTAAATATTACAGTTTCCTAAATAAACGTGCGTGACCATTCCCTTCACATGTACACCAACAAAAGCAGGCTGATTAAACCAGATTTTCTAATAATACTTTATTTTCTGCTTTATTTATAAATGTTCCAGGTTTCTTGTGAAGCTTCCTGTTCTGAATCATACTTTAATGGCCTATAATGCTTCTGTTGTGTGAATTATTTACAAGAATGCAGCATCCATGGTTTTGGTAACGAGGAGATGCTGTGTTCATCCTTGATCTCTATAAAGAATATTTTCAGCCCCACCCTGGACCCATTGGAGAGTTCCGGATTGGAAGCTCTCCTCCTCCTCATCATCTCTTCATCTTTTTAAATGGACCTAAGTCGGTCGTTTCTTTATTTCTACGGCATCCATCCAGCTGTAGAAGGTTATAATCATTTAAACACAACAATCTGTAAATGTGGAGCACTGAAGCTGAATAAATTAGAAATAATGTATTAGATAATCCGAGGCCGATGCAGCAGTTTATAAAACCGTCGGCTGATGTTCCGCGATAATGATGGATGAAAACACGCAGCTCTCACCTTCAGGCCTGCCGCAGAGCACCGCGGGTTGGTTCTGTGCGCAACCGGCGGACAGAGGATGGAGACCGGCGTTAAACGGGGGGAAATGCCCGCTGAGTGGATCTGGTCGCCGGTGGAGGCTGGGTGTTTAGTCGGCTATCCGCGGAGCTCAGGCACTCCTGAGTTCACCCACCCTGAACCTCCTCTCTCGGACTGGACGCGGCCGGGGAACGCAGGGCGGAGACTGGAGACCTGCCGCCTGGTTTGACAGTCAAACGAGGGCGGGAGCCGGAAACGCACCTGTACGCAAATCCAGCTGCTCTGCGGCTCTGCGGAGGCAGGGAAGAGGCAAATGAGGGCGTGAGGAGCGAAAACAGCCTTTTCTGTCTAGGCAGGGATCAACCTGTCGGAACAGAGAAAACGACTGAGACATTAAAACATGACATTTGGGTTTTTCCCCCGTTTTCAGCCAAATTCGTTCATTTTGTCTGATAAAATGCTAATTTAACAATGGTCTAATTACTCTGTCTTGAAGTGCCAACTAACGGATAAAAAATCGTATTGAAGCTGAGGCTATAACCTGTTTAATTGATCCGGTGTTTGTATAATTGGGGATCTGTGATTTTCTGCTTTGTTTGTTTGCTAATTGAAAGCTGAAAAGGTTACAGCAGTCATCTAGTTGTTGGTTTCAATGAAGGTTGAATTATTCCAGATGTTACCAGTTCTGTCCTTAAACCTTCTTGCAACCATAATTATTTCAGGCAAAGGAAACTCGGCTTTTATGATGCAAACAGATCATTAAGTAGGCCAATTTATGGGTAGAGATCAGAAACAGTCTCAAAATATCAGGTTGAAGCAGCTCCAGGGGTTCTCATTCACTCTGGCTGTTAGTCTGCAGATCAAATCTTTAAACTTTGCACACACAAAAATTAAACAATTTACAATCACTGGATCATTTATTTGCTGTGGCAATCAGGGGCGGGTCCAGATAGTATTTTCTGGAGGGGAGCACAACTCCACCACACAGCAGAACTCCTCCAGGCTTGTGTTATTTGTGGGGTTAAGCATCCATGTTGCAAGTCAGCGGTAGAGTCGAGCGGTCCAAATATCAGGAAATAAAACCTGCCCTCTGAAGCTCAGCTGTGATGTGGGCAACTTTCATCCTTTAATGGTGCACCAGTACTTTGTCCCCCAAAAACGAATGAATGAATTAACTATGCACTCATTTCAATATAGAGACCACTGCAAATGTACTGATTAAACAAGTGATCTACTCCTTTAAAGTTTTCTTTTAAATAAATGTGTCCTGCAGCATGAATACAACAGGGAAAAATGTAAATGTCACCAGCAGGGGGCGACTCACGCTACAGCAAAACTACTTTACAGCTTCAAAAGTCTCTTTCTGGAAAAACCTTATTTAGATCAAAACAGGACAAATCAAGCATATATTTTAGAAACAAAGTAAAAGCATAAACATTGATTTCACTGTTTAATTTGTTTTCACATTTAGAAAATGGTCTGTAGCGCCTCCAGGTATCAACAATCCTGTATCTTCCCTGTTGAGGAGACGCTGGTGTAAGTGGAACAGATTCCAGACCAGAGGGTTGAAATACAGCTGTTTTATTTGCAAAACGATACCATTTCATACATTGAGCACTGAAACACTGCAAAATACCACTAAAAAGATTAGAGAGCAAGTAACGCCTAAATTAACTTATTTTTGCTGATAACCTGTATAGATGAGTGTCTAATGGTGCTGTACACGTGTACATGTGCGGTTTATCACTGCCTCAGTGCTGCTCTCTCTGTCCGCCTGGCGACACCCCTTCCAGAAAAGTTCTCCTAACAGGAAGTGTGGATGAAATATGTCTCCACCCATATACTATATGTGACAGTGTGAGCGTCCTGTCACAGTGTCCCGATTGATCATGCGCCCTGGCTATTTGGCCAAGGGGATGTCCCTTTGGCTGACTGGTTAGACTCCAATCCTGGTCCTGGAGGGCCGGTGTTCTGCATGTTTTAGTTTGAACTCTGTTTCATCACACCTGATTTCAATCAGCAGCTAATTAACAGGCTTCAGCAGAGCCTGATGAGCTGCTGCACAGGTGTTTCAACCACTGAATCAAGTCTGTTGGAGCAGAAAAACCACAAAACCTGCTGGATACCGGCCCTCCAGGACCAGGATTGGACACCCCTGGTCTCACCCAGGAGTCTGGGGATCGAATCCCGGCCAGGCCCTCGCCTCTCCACCTCTGCATATATATGTCGATGCTTGACCCCTACCTTAAGTTTCAGAGGAAAAGGAAGTCGTTCATTCAGTCAGAAAGGCAAACGTAGAACAGAGACAAGGCAAGGAGCGTAATTACACAACCATACACAATTCTGCATCTCTACAAAACAAAGTGTTAGGAGGCCCGTCATTGATGTCTTGCTGTTAAAGAACAAACGTCGGATGTCCTGATTTTAGTTTAATCCTAAGAAAAATAAAGGCACATGGTGATTGATCCAGTTACTCAGGACAACCAACATTTTCTTTTTTATGTGGTGAGAAATGTATAAAACTAGAAAATCCAGTGATTATTATGCAAGGTTACACAGAACTGATGATAAAGAGTAAAATGGCAGAAAATTCAGATTTTATTCCTACAAATCTGTGACTAAAATGAGGCACCCCTGCTTCTTACAGCTGTTGTGTTGGTGTTACAGCGCCCCACTGTAGGAGAAAGGTGGAGCTTACAGCACCTGTAGGTGGTTTGAGATGGACGGATGCAGAGCCACTCTTACTCCACTGACATCACAATGTAACAAACATGTCAGGAAATAACGTCCTGCTGCGTTTATTTTTTATTAAAATAATTTATAAATTTATTGTTACATCAAAACACAGTCATGTTTTTCCTGTTTAAAACACACATGTTGATAAAAATGTAAATGACTGGGTGTGTGTGTGTGTGTGTGTGTGTGTGTGTGTGTGTGTGTGTGTGTGTGTGTATGTGTGTGTGTGTGTGTGTGTGTGTGCGCGCACACACAACAACAAC